TAAACATCATCAGCATTTGGTTTTGTTATATTCATGAACTTCAGTCCAAGTCATGATGTTTGAAACTGCTTCTAAATTCTAAATTTGGAATTATACAATATATTGCAGGGTTTTACATAGCTCTTTGAAACTAGAAGTCCTGGGGACTCAGACTCTAAAAGGCAACTCTAAAAAAAATATGCCCTATTTCCAAAATTGGGGGTCCATCAATTTGCATAAAATCAATGATCATGGATGCTTCCCATTTGATAATGATTACGTTATGATATGTGTTACTTTCAATGTCACTGGAATAATGATTGTAAATAGAATGTTTATATTTTAATATGGGATATCATTACAAACTCAGAAAGTTCTTTCCCAGAAAAAAATTATATTGCGTCCACAAGGACGCACAGGATTTTAGTTTGGGGGTGCTTCTGCGTCCAATACGCAGGAATCTTGCGTCCCGTAAAACCCTGATATTGTGATACATTGAGATACATCTGGAAAATAGGTGTCCTCCCATTTGTGAGAACTCCCAGTTGTGAGACACATTAATTAATGGTTCAGTGCACACAGGTGGTGCTTCCCCATCCCTACGATGAAAGTGGGAACAGCCCTGTTGCTGAAGAGTACCCGCAGGAGGCATAGTTCATTAATGAGTTAATTAACACAGAAGACATTGTTCGGTGAAGAGCATTTATTGTTTTTAATAGATACTGAAATACTGAAAAAGATTAGCCTGAACTAGTGATATATTCTACTTGTTGAAGGCCATAATGGTGATGGAAAGAGCAGTCAAAGGTTAACAAGAAGACAAAGTCATCAATATCCCCCGCAATGGCAAAATACTCTTCATGATTATGTCTACGAGTTATGATTATGTCAAATATTTAGGTGTGTACATAGAAAAGTGGAAGGAGAGTATTGAAAGGGTTTAAAAGTTCTGCTCCAGAAAGGAGCACTATCACCAATTTCAGTCAAACTTGTTGCCATGGAAATGCCAAAAATATTTTATTCAGAATTCCAAAACTACCAAAAGGCACCAGTACACCACCAGATCTATGTATGTGCCAAGTTTGGTGAAGAAATATTGAATGGTGTTAGAGTTCTGCTCCGGAAAAGAGCACTACCACCAATTTCAGGCTAAGTCAAACTTGTTGCCATGGAAACGCCAAAAATATTTTAATTCAGAATTCCAAAACTACCAAAAGGCACCACTACACCACCAGATCTATCTATGTGCCAAGTTTGGTGAAGACATATTGAACGGTTTCAGAGTTCTGCTCCGGAAAAGAGCACTACCACCAATTTCAGTCTAAGTCAAACTTGTTGCCATGGAAATGCCAAAAATATTTTATTCAGAATTCCAAAACTACCAAAAGGCACCAGTACACCACCAGATCTATGTATGTGCCAAGTTTGGTGAAGAAATATTGAATGGTGCTAGAGTTCTGCTTCGGAAAAGAGCACAACCACCAATTTCAGGCTAAGTTGAACTTGTTGCCATGGAAACGCCAAAAATATTTTAATTCAGAATTCCAAAACTACCAAAAGGCACCAGTACACCACCAGATCTATCTATGTGCCAAGTTTGGTGATGACATATTGAACGGTTTCAGAGTTCTGCTCCGGAAAAGAGCACTACCACCAATTTCAGGCTAAGTCAAACTTGTTGCCATGGAAACGCCAAAACAATTTTATTCAGAATTCCAAAACTACCAAAAGTCACCACTACACCACCAGATCTATCTATGTGCCAAGTTTGGTGATGACATATTGAACGGTTTTAGAGTTCTGCTCCGGAAAAGAGCACTACCACCAATTTCAGGCTAAGTCGAACTTGTTGCCATGGAAACGCCAAAAATATTTAATTCAGAATTCCAAAACTACCAAAAGTCACCACTACACCACCAGATCCATGTATGTGCCAAGTTTGGTGAAGAAATATTGAACATAAATACATTTGGATTAATTATTGTTACAACAGTTATTGCTAGATTTTTCAAACACGTAAATCTGAGAAGGTAAATTAATTTCTCTTTCAAATGATCACGAAGTTACCTACACAAAGTGTTTATTTTTTAAAGCCATTTATCTGAGTAGGTTAATTACTTTATCTTTTAGAGTTTCATTAAGTTACCTCCGCAAGACTCAGTTAAAAAGCTAATCCATAATTAGCTGGGGTTAATCCATTCTATCAGATAGGGGAGTAAGGTGTGATTTCTTTGCTAAGTACCTACTCCACTGTCTCACAACTGGGAGTCTCACAACTGAGAGTTCTCACAAATGGGAGTAGACCGGAAAATCGAATCCCCAGTCCAAGTCACTTGATGCCAATACTGTTGCAGCAAACTTCAAGTTTCCTTGGACATCCTTTTCCATCTTTAAACTAAGTTTTAACATTAGGGCAATGACAAAGACTGCTCTTCTTTCATGCTTAATTGCTTACAAATAAATTTAAATTCAAAGGATACTGACATTCCAAATTTTCAATCATATCCTATAAACCTGACCGACGCTAACTGGTGTCTTAAGTTAACATAAATAACAGATAAAGCATTTAAGTCAAGGGGTCTTGTTTTGTTTTTGAAAGCTACACTCAGCAATATATATTCCAGCTATATGATGGTGGTCTGTAAATAATTGAGTCAGTGGGAGCCGTGACAATTAACACTTATCAGAGGTAAGGTGAGGTGAAATTGGGTTTAACGTCGTGCTTGAGAACATTTTGCTCATATGACGACGTGCTTGCATGTGTATGTGTATGTGCGGCTGCTTGTACTAGCCCAGACTTAAGCTGGTTTTATAGTGCTAGCTCACTGAGATACCATGCCGCAGTGAAGCATGAATACCCCACCCAGACACAGTATACTGACTCCGAGCCGACCAGTCCTTGTTGTACCCATTAATGCCGAGCGCCAGGCAGGGACCAACAAGTAGCATATTTAAACGTCTTTTGGTATGACGTGGTCGGGGATCGAACAACACTTATCAGAGGGGTACACAAAGTCCGCAGTCTAGACTACCAGTTGTCCGACTTCCATTCTTGTGGAAGCCGCGGTGGCTGAGCAATCTAGGTGTCTGACTTTGTGTGCTGGTGATTAGGTGCCTAACTCGGAGGGTGTGGGTTCGAATCCCAGATGGGACTCAACCCAAACAAAGTAATAGAATCTGTACTTTACTGAGAAAGTGTAATCCCAAAAATAACATATGTTATGTCCTTACAATAACCTCAATATTAAAAGTTGAATATTTATAAACTTTTTTACTGCTTATGGGTACAAAGATTCACTGACCCCTGAACCCCTCCTAAAGTTAAGCATATATCTGACTGACTGAGTTTGGTTTTACGCTGCTTTTAGCAATATTCCAGCAACATCACGGCGAGGGACACCAGAAATGGGCGTTACACAACGTTGGGATTCTAACCCGGGTGTTCGGCGTGACGAGCCAACACTTTAACCACTAGGCTACCCCACTGACCCCGATCTAAACGAAGCAAGTCTAGATTTTCCACAGCTTTATCTTTCACCTCATCTCCTTTTCAACATGTTCAATTTAAATGGAGTTATTTGCTTGCAAAAAATGATACATTTTCAGGGACTAACTATACTGGACCAAAATAGTTAGGGATATATGTAAATTTTGAAACTATGAATAATGATCTATTTATTCATTGACACACTGATAAAATATAAATCATAAAAATACCAATATCCCTAACTTATTTTGTCCAGTATATTAGACTAGTCAAAACGTGAAGAAGCTTTGATTGCCCACCAATCACCTCTCTCTGACTTGATTACATCATACACCAGCATCCAGACCATCAATCAGGACAATCAGTAGATTCAACAGTCCAACTTATTAACTACACATCCAGTCCAGTGGTCAATTAACCGTGATCAAGCAGCAGTGATTGGCACTGCACACATGCTTAATCCTGCTTACATAACACTCCCATTCCAGAGAAATGCTACTAGACTTTGGTCATCAGTTATTCAAAACCAGAATTTTCTTTTAAACTATCAGTTTAAAAAAAACAAATCAGTCTTTGGGCAGCTTGGATTAAGTTGCAATGTATACTCCCAAGGAAACTGTGAGTAAATATAGCAGATCCACTGACTGGGGACATAATGTTCAGGTTTGAAAATACTTTACTGTGTGGACGTTGCACATTATCGATATCAACATTATTATTACAAAAGAATGTTTTTCACACCAACTGGCATGAAACAATGACTGTGAAATCACAAAATCATTGCCCATGTATCTGACATGCAACGAATATAAAGCGTATTCATGCCCATTAAACCGTGTTTATCTTCACTAATCATGTTTATATTCAGCACACTTCCTCCTCTGCATCATGTGAGATATATGTGACATATGCCCTCAATAAGAAAATAAAGGTGCTCTGTCAACATGATAGAGCCATTAGCATTGGTTCATCAAGGTACTACTGATTCACTTCCAGTTTTTGTTTTACAGATAACTCTATGACACACTTTCATGTGTTATTATAAAATGACATTTATCATTTGATAATTCCTACAAATAGCACATAAACATGATTGAATTCATGAACTGTGTTCTTTTCTTACCACCTTTACTGTTCAACATCATAATGAAAAGGTGTCAAACACTTATCTGAGTGATGATAGAGTTCTTTGAGCATTGGACAAGCCAGCCCTACTATCATAGCACACATAACTGATCAATTGCAAAATAATGCTATGTATCCTACAGAACCTGAAGATAAATAGTCACATAGTGTATATACTACCCATGCAGTCTATCAAGTTCACCTTAACCTAACACTCTGGTATCAACAACTGGTTATGTGAAACGTCTGGAACCAGATTTTTTTTCAAAATTAAGGATTCCATGACTATTTCGATTGATATGTCTTGAAAATTGTACGTTTCTAATGCAACACTATCACACGACATATGCACAACTTTGCTACACTGTCAAAATAGAAATAACGCAATGAAATAAATTAATTACCACACCTGTAATATGACAAAAGTCCATTCTGCAAAACGAACCATCTCTTCTGGTAACCTTTCAGGTAATTTGTCCACTTGTAGAGCCAGCCTCGGTACTGAGACTGATGTGGTTTCGAGTCCGACATTCTGTCAGAACTCTTCTTCGTATTTGGTGTGCTGTTGACAATTTTGACAATTGAAGTCAATGACAAATAATATCAGTCCATGTCACGCAAGATACCGTGGCCCAAAATGGCCGGATTTGGAATAGAGAATAATAGATGCACAACTTATTATATTGATGTAGAGATGAGATGGCGTTCTGTTGACGTTTTCATTTAAAGTATTCTATACTTATGCCAATTTGATTGTCGGACAGACAGCCTTACCACTGCACTGAAAACAACATATTTTCTCGGACCGTGTTTTTATTTGAGATTAGGATAAATTGAACTAATTTCGTACAAAACGTGACAGCATAAATTCATATGTAATATCGCACTTCAGTAAACAGTTACCTTCATTGTAGCATTTTCAGACTAACATTTTATCAAGTAAAAATAATAAGTATGTGGGACAGTATGAATGCTTCAAGCTTGGCTTAAGTGCCTCTCTCTCTCTCTCTCTCTCTGCTCTCTCTCTCTCTCTCTCTCTCTCTCTCTCTCTCTCTCTCTCTCTCTCTCTCTCTCTCTCTCTCTCTCTCTCTCTCTCTCTCTCTCTCTCTCTCTCTCTCTCTCTCTCTCTAATTTGGGCCGTATGGAATAACGAAAATAACTGTACTCTTGTATAAGTACAGATGACGTAATGCTTTCGAAACACAAACATGGAAAAAGATACTTAGATAAATCCAGAATTGAAATATCACAAGTGTCCTTATTTCTAACTTTACGTAAATTTAATAATAATTTCTTTAACTGAAGAATATAAGCTGTCATCCATAAAACGTGTCATGTCTACATGTTCGTCCAACTTCTAAATGCCTTTCAAAAACCTCACAAGTATGATGCTGATTCCAGAAATTGGGGTAAGTCCATATGCTTGTTCGAAAAGTAAAAATTAAATTAAAGCCAAGTTTTAAACAAAATGAAAAACAACAGGAAAACATTGATGTCCCACATCAACGTGCATGCCAAAACGTATTATGTGATTATAACAAATAGGTCAACTTCAGAGAGTGAAAGAAAATAATAAAATGTCGTGTATCACATCATTTGCATATCAAATTCATTTAATACAATCAGAGGGTATCCAGTTGTAAGGCAACGGTACACTTAAAAAACCAGCTCAATTTTAACAAATGATACAATGTAATGTAGATGTCGCACTTCGGGAGAAGTCACTGTAAAGCCCAAATTGTTTTCAAGTTTGTTCTGAGGATATTTCGTCTATAAATGCTGGAATTCAAAGCGTCATGAAATATATGCTTGATATTTTGATAATTGGACCTCATGTATACAACTCATTTCACGTTAATAAAATGATATCAAAATCACTTTGAACAATCTCTCTTTCTGTCTATGTCTGATATGTCTGTTATATCCATTTACGTCAATTCTTATGTTCTCCCACGCAAATGAACATGTCATAACATAAGTTGTTGAGTGAATAGTACATTATACGAATCGTTGAGCTATTTCCGGTAAATACATTACAACTTCCGGTTATGATAAATGCGGAAAACTTAAATAGAAGTTGACGTACGGATGGAGTTATATCCGTGATACCAAAAGATGTTTGTAACAGTGTGCTAAAGTGACGATAACTTCGATGTAAGTCATTATCTGTGATGTGGTCTATCTTCGAATACTGATGGAGTGAATTTGTTAAGGAAAAGTCGGACTGAAGAATGGTACAGGCAAGCCAACCAACCTTGCCTCAACTATCTTGAAAATAACTGTATGCCTCCAGCGTTTGGTTAGGGTTAGGAGCTAACAATTTGTATAACTCAATAAGCGGTAAGAGTTCCTCCCGTTAGGAACGAGGGAGACATGAGCATGTGTAGTGGCGACATGAGGTGAGTTAGCCTTCAATCCTTACTTTACAAAATTTATGTTGGCGTGTGAAAGAGGCTTCAGTGCAAATTCAGGCCAATTTCCATTAGCCCAAAATTTCTACATTAACCCATTTCATAATGTACTTCGAGGTTTTGGTTTCCCGTTTTTGTGTGAAAAAAAAAGTATTAAAATGCAAAAGAAAAACAACAAATGGTACTCACATATTACACGGACATGTACCTACTATATTGGATTAGGTCCCTAACCTAAACCCTAAACCCTCAGCCCTAACCCCTAACCTAACCCTTGAAATAATCCTAATAAATAGAATGCATTGACCCGAACCACGGACATGTACCTACTATATTGGATTAGGTCCCCAACCCCAACCTAAACCCCAACCCTAACCCTAACCCTAACCCCTAGCCTAGCCCTAACCTAACCTAACCCTAACCTAACCCTAACCCCTAACCTAATCCTTCAATTAATCCTAATAAATAGAATGCATTGACAGAACCGGCACAAACACATGACTGACGTGTCTGGTGTAATGCATTATTACCTTCGAAATAAAAAAATACTAATAAAACACTTTTCTATGTAATGGTGCAACTTACTGAATGACAAAAATATATATGTGAATTTAAAAAAATTACAAAATACAAAATACACAACACTTAACACCCCAGCAGCCCGTGAATAACAAATAAATATGAGCGTATTAGTGAAAAAGAAAAATATTTCAAACTGGTGCTTGCAAAATATTGTGCATCCGCCGGTATACAACTACTGGAAACTCTCAACATCGTTTGCCTTATGCAATGACATAGCTCGTAGAGATGAAACACCAGTGAGCGGAGCTTATACGCACTCGCTGAGCCAGACAACCGTGTTGCCATGCAGGCGTCATAGGGCATTGTTTCGAGATCGTCCTTTCGAACAAAAACACATTACATTACGTAAAAGAGTATTATGACGTATTTTTAAAGTTTGTGGTGCTGTATTCTAAAGGTAGGCCGTTATTTGTCTCTGTTCGTAATCTTGGTTTTTATGCCAACATGATTGTTAGGTCTCTGATGGGTAGTGAAAACTGGAATACCTGTTTATGACTACTTAACTAGGACTTGTCAATGAAAATTGATACAGCATTTGCCTTATTTATCAACCACATTTTGCTGGTCCCACTTGTTGCTTTTGAACAAAATGTGTAAATGATATCTTTATAAGTTTATGCAGACTCTAACACAGAGGCCCAGATAAGCTGCGTATCCGGGTAAAATATGCATAGAAAATGTCCATTTTCGCGTTGAAAAATAATTGTTGCGTACCAATTACGCATTTAAAATGTTAGATACGCAAAAAGTTTAAAACAATTGCATACGGAATATATTTATAATAATTGCTTGCGTAATGAAAAAGACATCGATTGCTATCAAGTTAGACTGTTAGTATAGGACAAGTGTTGTACTGTAAGTATAGGATGAGGGATTTTTTATGAAATCATTTCCATTATATTTAAGTTAGTTTTGATTAGGTATGACATAAGGCAGAACATACCTGTTTAGTAAACTTACTCAATGACATAATACTTAGGTGAGTAAAATGACTGAAATACGCACATATTTGAAAGCAGTGGGTAACGGAAAATGAAATACCCACTCAACATTCATAATACCCACTCCAAAAAAATACAGTGGGTACAGTACCCACATGAGCTAAATCTTATCTGGAGCTCTGCATGCTAGTCTCAAGTAAAGATTTGGGTTAGAACTGGTCTTCAGCAACCCATGCTTGTCACGAGTAAAGATCTTGATTAGAACTGGTCTTCAGCAACCCATGCTAGTCTCAAGTAGAGATCTGGGTTAGAAGTGATCTTCAGCAACCCATGCTTGTCCCAAGTGAAGATCTGGGTTAGAACTGGTCTTCAGCAACCCATGCTAGTCTCTAGTAAAGATCTGGGTTAGAAGTGATCTTCAGCAACCCGTGCTTTTTCCCCAGTGAAGATCTGGGTTAGAACTGGTCTTCAGCAACCCATGCTAGTCTCGAGTAAAGATCTGGGTTAGAAGTGATCTTCAGCAACCCGTGCTTTTCCCCAGTGAAGATCTGGGTTAGAACTGGTCTTCAGCAACCCATGCTAGTCTCGAGTAAAGATCTGGGTTAGAAGTGATCTTCAGCAACCCGTGCTTGTCCCCAGTGAAGATCTGGGTTAGAACTGGTACACCAAATGCTCACATGATGTAGAGGAACACACACTGCTTACAAAGTGGCAAATCAGGGGAAAATATTCCAGGCCCTAGTACAGATAAAATATGAATGTTTTTTTATCTCTGAGTTTTTTAAAATAAACATGATGATAAAGTGTCAAATGCTGGGTATACAGTAGTTCATATGAATAAACTCGTATTCCAGCCAAGGCCTACACAGAGTGGCCTACCTTTAGAATACAGCACCACAAACTTTAAAAATACGTCATAATACCCTTTTACGTAATGTAATGTGATTTTGTTTGAAAGCACGTTCTCGAAACAATGCCCTATGTAGACGGCGAGTGCATTTTCTTTGACGTACCTTTCCGCAAGAAATTAGAGCGGTCAGTTTTATGTAAAAACAAGAATGAAGACTCAGCCTATCGACTCATGCATGTGCATGCATTACTAAAACAAACAATCGTCTTCAAAACGAGACACTTACCTCCACTAAAATCGACTCACTTTATTACTAAATGACCTGAAACATAAAGACCCCCACCAACATTCCAACATTTGTCGACCATTTTGGTTATGGTAAATAGCAGTTGTATCAAAAAAAGGAATCGTATTAAACGGACCGTGATTACATGACGCTCTGAAGTCTGAGGAAGGGGGACGAACTTTTAGCAGTTTCTATTTGTTCCTAAATACGTTTTAATGCGTTTCCACTAACCGCTAATTACCATAACAGTATGGCCGACAAAGGGTGGAAGGTAGGTGGGGTCTCTATGTTTCAGGTCATTTAAGTAATAAAATGAGTCGTTTTTAGAGGAGGTAAGTGTTTCGTTTTGAAGATGAATGAAAGTTTAATCAATCCATGCACATGTATTAGTCGATAGGTTGAGTTTCTACCCTCGTTTATGCCTAAATCCGTTGTGCCTCTCTGCCTAGTGAAGTGCGTCAAAGAACTTGAATTCGCCGGCTTGACGTCGAGCACACCTTGGTATAGTGCAAAGTCGTCTAGTTATATGCTGGACTAGGTATACAGGTCACATTACTTTTTCTCTTGAAGTCACACATGCTCAGTGAAAGTCAAACCTGGTCATCAGTTCAACAATATACAAGTTGCAAAATATTAGTTAACATAGTGTCAAGCCCATGTTTTCATGGCTTGAGTTTAGTGTGTGTTTGACTGCAGAAAGAGCACCATTGTCCATTGTATCTGCTAATATAAGTACTATTTCAGTAGGAATGATGACTTGAGTTTATTGTTCCACTAACTTCCAGTTTGTATATTTGTAGTGGTTTTCTGATGATCGAAAATGATCGAAAATCGATTGAAAGAAAGATTAAAAATAATTATCGATTGTAAAAAACATATTTTTGATTAAACTGAATTTTGTTGTTTTAGTACAACACACTTGAATGAAGCAAACTAACCATTAAATTTGATGAATATTTTCACGACCAAACATGCACTTTAAAGCTATACGCATTGTAATGTAAAATTGTAACCACTTTTATTCTTTAATTACATATCCAGTGTCTTTCTTGCATGCATGCAGTTCATTGCATGACTCTATTGACAGTATTAGTTATAAAAAAACATTAATTTGAAAAAACCTGGGGAAAACCCCTTGAAATTGGTGATTGCATTAAAAGTGCATATATGTTGATTATAATCGTCACCACAAGTCCTCTGATAGTCGATGGTGGATTTGGTTTCCGATTCCCAACACTATATAGTTGATGTCTGACTGACCACTGGTGTTTGCTGCTGGATGAGATGTGATGGCTTGTGAAGCGCTAATAGGTTAATAGGCACATGACTTATCCCAACGGGTACCCATTTTCTGCTGGGTGAACAGAGGCAATTTTGAACAAACTCACTTACCTAAGGTGGGACCACATGTATCACATAGGTCTGCCTAGAAACTCTCAAGAGCTAAGGACTGAAGTCCTAGAAACTCTCACAATAATGTGAAGCTAAGCTGCCAAACACGGTCACCCATCCAAGTTCTCTCTGTGCTAAGTGTTGCTTAACTTAAACTGATTTCTGACTTGAGCTCTATGCACAGGACCACACACCACCAACAAAACAACCAACCAAATATGTATGAGACTGCTGAATGACCACCTGTGTTTGCTGCTTGACAAGTAGTCTGTCTCAAAGTCCATGAACCACATTATTTTCCCTACAGCCTAGCCCTTCTTGCAATGCTAAAGCCCTAAATGAAGCAAGTCTAGATTTCCCATCTCACTGGGGCTCTTTTTCAATTTAAATTGGTTTATTTGTCATAATTACACATTATGTATATCCAAAGACTTACCTTAGTCAATTTGACAAGATGTAATCATGATAATGACTTGATTTTGTCGTTACAGTGCGTGGTATTTGACCTTTGACCAGTGACGTGATGACCTCCTCCAGCCAGGTGCTCCAGTTCTCCCTCCTCAGTAAAAACATTCTGACCCCCGAGGAAGCCGAGCTGTATGAGCTTGGTCAGCTTGGAGGCATTACCCTTGACCCTGGCGTGTTCAAGTGAGTAGCCTTGACTGTAGCTTATGTTTTAGGCCCCCCAAAAATGTATTCCCGTTTCCTGTTACATGCTTTTTAAAAATAGGGTAGGTGGGTCGATTTTATCTTTTTTTTTACTTTTTTTTTCTACCAGCACTAGGTGGGCACCTGAGAATGTCTTCAAGGATACCATATCATGTTGTGACAATGCCTTGTGATGAAACATTGAAAGATTTCTATATCAAATCATTATTCATGTTATTTATTTGAAGGTTTTGTCAGTGAGAGCCCATTATGCCAATTCAAATTTCAATGCAATCCATTTTAGCCCTACATACACTGAAAAAATGAAAATATCATACTCGATTTGGATGAAAATGATGAGTTGAGATGCACTCCAGTCATGATTTTGACTTGGTTAAAAAAGATATATTTAGGGTCGGTGGGGTTAGGATAGCGTCAGTCGGGTAACCCGAAACTGACATATTATTTTCTGGCCTTAGTCCATATGTCAGTCTGAGGTTGTGAACATGTTATCTACTGCATCAGCGAGACAAATTTGAGTAAGCTGGAACTTGCTATACATGTTTCTGCATAATTTGGGGATTTAGAACTTGAATAAGAACAACATCTGTATGAAAGAAATGTGATTTTAATGAGTATTTCAATATGGATTTGTTGACATTCTATATTTGAAGACTGATCATGACGAGAAGATGAACGAAGGTTGCTGGTTTGGTTTATGTACAGAACATACCATTTTGATGCTGATTTTAAGGGTCAAGTTGGGTTTATCTATGTGATCGGCTGGTCTACGGTCATACACAGTACTTTAAGTAGATGAGAAGCAGAGGGATTGCTTGACAGTTGACAATGGTATGTTTGAGTTGTTTTGGGTTGTCCTCTACTAGTAGACCGAGAGGAGTGTTAAGGGTCTTTACAGATTTTGCTTGATGTCAAATTTACAGAAATGCTGAAATCTGTTTTGAGTAGAGCAAAAATCTATAAATCTTTTTCATTAAAACTTCAGGATTATCATGGACCTTCTGAAAATGAATGTGGCACCAACTGCCATTCTGCATATGCTGAAATCCATGTGTAGTCAGCGTAAAAAGAAACACACAGTCGTGGATGAAGAAGTCATGGGTCAAAGAGGTTCAAGGTCTGCAACAAGTTCTGGAAGTCGGCCACGGCAAGGATCTGGATCCAGGAGGGTGGAAGCCCGGAGATAGTGCAGCTGTGTTGAGGAGCATCCCAGGGACAGTGCAGCTGTGTTGAGTGGGAGCCCTGAGACAGTGCAGCAGTGTTCAGTGAGAGCCCTGAGATAGTGCAGCAGTGTTCAGTGAGAGCCCTGAGACAGTGCAGCAGTGAGAGCCCTGAGATAGTCAGTGAGAGCCCTGGTGCAGATAGTGGGAGCCCTGAGCAGTGCAGCAGTGTTCAGTGAGAGCCCCTGAGATAGTGCAGCTGTGTTCAGTGAGAGCCCTGAGATAGTGCAGCTGTGTTGAGTGGGAGCCCTGAGACAGTGCAGCAGTGTTCAGTGAGAGCCCTGAGATAGTGCAGCAGTGTTCAGTGAGAGCCCTGAGATAGTGCAGCTGTGTTGAGAGGGAGCATGGACATGATGGACATTGTGCAGCTGTGTTTAGTAGGAGTCCTGAGATTGTGCAGCTGTGTTTAGTAGGAGTGCTGAGATTGTGCAGCTGTGTTGGGCGAGAGCATGGACATAATGCAGCTGTCCTGAATGGAAGCACAGAGATAGTGCAGTTATATGAGTGGAAGCAGATAGATTTCTAGCTGCCTTGAGACAGTGCCTGTGATACATCAGTCCACTCCACCCATCAGTGTTTTGTACTGCCAAGTAGGGTGTCACTGAATGGAAGGTATAGAGTCAACTCAAACTGATTGTATATTGATATGTAAAATATTTAGTCCTTCTGTACATGCTGTATGTGTAAAGAAAGGAAGTCCAATAAATATTTCATACTGAATGTTTTGCCTTCTCATTCTTCATCTTAATCATGTTAATCTTATTAAATGTAAACTTTTCTGTGGCAGAAAATTATTAAAAATTATTCACATAGTGTTTAATTTTAATTGATTAGTATTGACACATCCTCATTAGCATAGGGGTAGCCTCATGGTTAAAGGGTTCACTCATCAAGCCGAAGACCCAGGTTCGATTCCCCACATGGGTACATTGTGTGAAGCCCATTTTTGGTGTCCCCAGCTGTGATATTGCTGGAATATTGTTAAAAGCGGCGTAAAACTGAACTCACTCACTCACTACAGATATTGATGCTGTTATTAGTCTTTCTAGCTGAGCTTTTACAGTTTTAGACCTGAACATACGGAACTAGCTGCTCAGGTCCAGACTAGAACTGTAAAGTGCTGTTGAAAGGACTTGCATCCAGCTTGCTGGGATGGCCTCTTGTCCAGACTAGAACTGTAAAGTGCTGTTGAAAGGACTTGCATCCAGCTTGCTGGGATGGCCTCTTGTCCAGACTAGAACTGTAAAGTGCTGTTGAAAGGACTTGCATCCAGCTTGCTGGGATGGCCTCTTGTCCAGACTAGAACTGTAAAGTGCTGTTGAAAGGACCACCGTGATATTGCTGGAATATTGCCTGAAAAGCAGCCTGCAAAAATAAACTCACTCAAGTCAACTTTCTTTCAAAGGGAACAATTAAGTCAAGTTTTCACACACACACATTTTAAATTTCTTTTACATGAAGAAGTATGAGATGGTGCTGGTGTAGCAGCCTAAAATGTACCACCAAGAGCCAGTCTCTTTCAAAGAATTAAGTCATTTTTCACACACACACTAAATTTGTATCATGTGTATCAGCTGTTATGTATCAGCCTGTAGTGTGTATCAGCTGTTATGTACATCATTTTTACCAGCCTGGTGTGTATCAGCTGTTATGTATACCACCTCTACCAGCCTGGAGTGTATCAGCTGTTATGTGCCACCCTACCAGCTGGAGTGTATCAGCTGTTATGTACCAGGCTGTTATGTACCAGCCTGGCTGTGTATCAGCTGTTATGTACCACCTCAGCTACCAGCCTGGCGTGTATCAGCTGTTATGTACCAGCCTGGTGTGTATCAGCATGCTGTTATGTAGCCCAGTATCCTGGCGTGTATCAGCCTGTTATGTACCACCTCTACCAGCCTGGAGTGTATTAGCTGTGGTATGTGTTATGTACCAGCCTGGTATGTATCAGCTGTTATGTACCACCTCTACCAGCCTGGGGTGTATCAGCTGTTATGTACCAGCCTGGTGTATGTATCAGCTGCCTTAGTGTACCACCTGTACCAGCCTGTATCAGCTGTTATGTATCAGCTGTTATGTACCAGCCTGGAGTGTATCAGCTGTTATGTATGTACCAGCCTGGAGTGTATCAGCTGTTATGTACCAGCCTGGAGTGTATCAGCTGTTATGTACCAGCCTGTACCAGCCTGGGGGTGCCACCTCTACCAGCCTGGTGTGTATCAGCTGTATGTACCAGCCTTGTTATTGTATCAGCTGTTATGTACCAGCTGTTCATGTACCAGCCTGGAGTGTATCAGCTGTTATGTACCAGCCTGGAGTGTATCAGCTGTTATGTACCAGCCTGGAGTGTATCAGCTGTTGTGCTGTTATGTACCAGCCTGGAGTGTATCAGCTGTTTATGTACCAGCCTGGAGTGTATCAGCTGTTATGTACCAGCCTGGAGTGTATCAGCTGTTATGTACCAGCCTGGCGTGTATCAGCTGTTATGTACCAGCCTGGAGTGTATCAGCTGTTATGTATCAGCTGTTATGTACCAGCCTGGTGTGTATCAGCTGTTATGTACCAGCCTGGAGTGTATCAGCTGTTATGTACCAGCCTGGAGTGTATCAGCTGTTATGTACCAGCCTGGTGTGTATCAGCTGCCAGCTGTTATGTACCAGCCTGGAGTGTATCAGCTGTTATGTACCAGCCTGGTGTGTATCAGCTGTTATGTACCAGCCTGGTGTGTATCAGCTGTTATGTACCAGCCTGGAGTGTATCAGCTGTTATGTACCAGCCTGGTGTGTATCAGCTGTTATGTACCAGCCTGGAGTGTATCAGCTGTTATGTACCAGCTGTATCAGCTGTTATGTACCAGCCTGGAGTGTATCAGCTGTTATGTACCAGCCTGGTGTGTATCAAGCTGTTATGTACCAGCCTGCGTGTATCAGCCAGTACCAGCCTGGTGTGTATCAGCTGTTATGTACCACCTCTACCAGCCTGGAGTGTATCAGCTGTTATGTACCACCTGGCTGTTATTACCAGCATGTATCAGCTGTAATACCACCTCTACCAGCCTGGAGTGTTTTATGTACCACCTCTACCAGCCTGGAGTGTATCAGCTGTTATGTACCACCTGTACCTACCAGGTGTGTAACAGCCTTCATGTGCCACCTTAACCAGGTTAGTGGCCATTCCAGGAGACATTCAGACTTTCGTTTATAAGAAATTGTCACTTATTTAAAAAGCTGTTTTAAAGTAACAACAGACTATATATGACCTGGTAAGCTATCATCCAGAGAACAAAACTATAAGGAGGAATGTGCACCTGATTGGGTGAGTGGTCTGTTTGATGGTCTGAAGTGAGGGAACTGGATTTCAGTTCTCCAACTTATTGTCAGTGGGAGAACATTGTGAAGTGATGGAGTCCTCAGAGTGTACCCCTTCAGTGAAAACCATGAGTATGGGTAAGGTGCGGACACTGAAAGGATACAGGATACGAATACAGGATGATAGGTCACTGGCGTCAACCCCTTGAAGGTCATCACACCAAGGTTCAAATACATTCACCAATATCAGTCACACTTTCTTTTGTTTTGAATCAGTTTTAACAATATGATTAGTAGATCATGGAGGGAGGGTGTTTGGATTAACTCGACTTTGAACAGTGTCTCATGTGAATGTTATTATATTTAAGCTTCTGGAGGGAGGAAGACTTCCACAACATTGTGAAACATATGAGAATGTTGGTGATATGAGAATAGTTATGGTAGTGACACCTTGAAGTTGAAAACTCCGTTTAAAACCTAGGGCCTAGATTGTTTAAATGTTTGTAGCCCTAAGAATTCTTAACTTTGATATAGCCAATGTGTTAAGAAAATGCTTAAGAAGTTTGTAGGGCTACAAACGTTTCGAAAATCTAGGCCCAGGCTCATATAATTCTGGTATGCCCAAAGCAAACCAATTAGCAACACTTTAGACAACTGTGCATGTTGTGATCCCTGTTTGCTATGTCTTACAAAGTGTGTGAGTTTAGTAATATGCTGCTTTTAGCAGTATTCCAGCAATATCATAGCAGGGGACACCAGAAATGGGCTTCACGCATTGTACCCATGTGGGGAATCAAACCCAGTCTTCGTTGTGACAAGCAAATGGTTTAACAACAAGGCCACCCCACTGCCCCTATATTTCTTTTGAATGCTTGGTATATCAGGTATTTCAAATAGCGATATTTATCATGTTTCTGAATGCCCAACACCTTCGCCATGTTTCCATTATTCCAAAATGCCCACCCTGTCTTACAAAGACAACAAACACAGTGTACATTGATTTGTTTTTTATATGAATAACAAGATAATGTTAACAGTAATGTACATCCACATGAGCCAGTCTGCAGCTCCTCAGAACAATCCTGCAGGGACGTACGAACCATTCACCAGACGCTGAGCCACAGGGATCAGACATGACACTCCGACATGGTACAAAAACATGGACACCATCCAAACATCCACCCACCCAAAACTAAGGTATGGTACAAACATGCTCAGCTCCTGATAAGGACACTGTACGAGCCTATAGTTTATGAGAGTCTAGAGAAATAATACATTCTTATTTTTTTATTGCATGAAATGAATTTTAACACCCAGTATTTGCCCATATCGCATCAATTTTATACATTTCCAATTAAGACCAATTTGTGTCAACACTTAGTCTCTCTGAATACCCTTATCAAATATTGTGTAATATATTAACCTGTCACCCCTTTCCCAATACAATACTAAGAAATGGTATATCACCCTTTCTCTCCAAACTACTCATTCAGACGTCACACATTGACACACCACTCAGACTTAAAAAACAACACTGACATGTTACACCAATTAGCACTCAATCATTTCCAAAACCACAGTCATGTATACACAGACTCTCACTACATATTACACCAACATAGCACCACCCTCTCACACATGACATATCCAGTCAGGTCATAGATTCTCCCTACAAATTATGTGAAGCACTTGAGATATAAAATTATCAACAGAAGTCTGTAAGATGTGTCTGTTTGTTGTGAATACTACACTCTGCAATATTCCAGCTGTATGGTGGGACACTGAAAATCAAAGGTTAACTGAAACATTCAACATACTCACGAAACTGTCAGTATTGTTTCTACAAAATATGATGAAATGCTCTGAATACCCAAGTGATCCTATTACATTAACAGAATTTTACCAAAAATTATGTTTGTTTTTTTCACGTATACCCTACATGTGTATCTAAGTTGCTTATACTTAACATAAAAAAAGAAAGAAACCTGAAAATGTACAGAAATGTAATCTACATTCTTCTAGAGTTTCAGTCATCAATCACTACTCAGCATAAATTAAATCTGATTCAGCAAACTAATATCTTGAGAATAAGGAAGTAACAAATTAAGTACTTCTGCCATTGATGTCTGTCAGCAGTAAAATGTTCAAAAGAAAATTGAATATAGAAACAATGTATCCAAGATAGCATATCTCTGAACTGACAGGTGAAACTACATGTCGATTAAATAACAACAATGATCTGGTATAAACTGGTGTCGCTATTTGTCTGACCCGGATTGTTGATGCACGATGACTACACAATCAGCTATAATGGAACTTAACATTGTACATTCAACAAAATATGTGTACCACACAGTGTCTGAAAGAATACAAGCAGATGAATGAGACAAGATACAGGCATGTTGATTGACATGAGGAAGTGTTCAATTCCTGTCTGTCCCTTGACAATGGGTCTTGTAGATACTTAATACAAAACAAGTGTCCACTAACATATGTACATCTGACTGCGACCACAACGTGTCCGGGTTCATGGCAGTTTGTGGGGTGATATGTTCAACACATTTTGTCCTTATGCAAAATTTCATCTTTCTTAAAATAAAAAAACTTGATGAAGAAAAATCCCTTTCTATGAACCCAGTTGAAGAAGTTTGTAATGGGTACATACACAAATGAAGTGATTTTTGTGTTGAAACTAGTACGTCTTGACTAGTCATCATCTGAGAGCATTTCATACTGAGCTGAGTATAAGGGCACAGGTTCCTGATCACGGGAGATGACGGAGTGTTCGGCCTCCACAATCATGCTGGAAACTACGGGCTGAGCAGGGGTGGAGTAGGAGTAGCTACTGACGTCCCCAGACCCTGGGATGACTGACGCCATGCTTGTTGGCAGGTCGGAGCTAGAGTGCGGTCGGTTGTTGACATCAACTCCCAAGAAGCTGGACTCCACTGCTCGTGGACTGCGAGATCGTTGAACATAAGACATGGAAGGGAGACTGTCCGACCCCCCTCTGTTCTGGCTTGTATTGTCTGCTGCCTCATAAGAAACATCTGTGCTACACTGAGGACTGTTGTCATGAACACGAGGGGAGCTTTTGGCAGACCGAGGTCTGTCCACCATCTGACCACCTGAGGAGACATCTGCTCCTGTGGAGCTGCCAATGTCAGACTCATCGATGACCATGTGGTCAGAGTGAGTGCTGTCGATGCTGGGGTGAGAGATATTGGAACTGTCATCAGCTTCTCCGCTCTCTGCTCGCCCTCCGAATCTGCTGCGTGGAAAGTTCCGTGACTCAGGTTCCCTGCTGTGGTCCATCCCTAAGTGGGAGCTGTCCGACACCTGCTGACCCACAAGAAAACTTGCGTAACCTTGAGCCTCATTCTGATCTTTGCTTTGTGAGCTCACCTTGTCTCCATCTCCGCTAACCCCCTCGTCGACGGAACTACCAATGTTTCCCTCACCTTTACTGCTGCCATCGGAGCGGTTCTCCGAGCTGTCCACATGTCCCCGTCTCGGACTCCGTGATAGAGAACTAGATAAAGCCATATAACTACTTGGAGTTTTCCTGATTCCCTCTTCCTCAGGACTATCAGGGAAGTCGTATTCTGACGACTTGGTTTTCTTTTCTGAAGATGAGGCCTTTTGCATATCTGCAGCAGATGAAGGGCGAGGCAGATCTCTGGATGGAGCAGCAAATTTGCCAGGTGGTCTTGTTACACCCCGCTTCTTGGGCTGCTGATAGTGTGGGGTAGCAGCACTTGCATGGCTAGCCTCCGAGGATTCAGCTGCTGAAACAGACACCATTGGTCTCATCCCAGACATTTGACGATCATCTGATTCCTGAGATTGGGCTGGCTGACGGATCAACTTGAGATGAACTGCTGGGGAAAGCTTCTTGCTGCTGTTGAGATGTTCTTCCATCAGGTGGACCGGGTTGGGAGTCGGAAGACCTACTATCCTGATGACCTAGTCGGCTATCTCCTGGCTGCTGACGAGCATCTTGTCGAGTGTCTGGAAGCTGAAGCAGTTGGCGGTTTGACGGCAGAGGCTGGCTGGGTGGCATCTGCTGCTGTTGCTGTGTCACAAGCCGAGAAGCAGCAAGCGAGGGAGACACCGAGGACTCAACAGCATGCTGCTGCTGATTGAGGCGAGACTGAGAAAGTGATGGCACAGAGGACTCTATCTGCTGCTCTGACTGACTGGGACTGGTTTCCTCCAATATAGCTTTCTCTATTCTCCTCCTCATCATAAAGTCCAAGGTGCTGATGTTGAACTCTGTCTTAGCTTTAGTAGCGGGTGTAGTCTCGGATGTAGTGGGGCCCTGGCCACTGCTGTCGGCTGGCTGGTGGTGGGGGTGGTGGCCTGCCAATATAACCAGAACGCTAGATCAGTCAACTTGAAACACAAACACAATGCATATAAGGAACGGAATGTGGCTGGGATCAGTTGGAGTCAACAGTACACCTGTTATGGGTGTCAGCCAGCGAGGTAAAGGGGTAAAGATATTCTAAAAGTTAGCAAAGGGGACCTGTTTAAACATACGATATTCCAACAGCTTAGCAAGAATGACCTGTTTGGGGCTAACCATAACACTAAATATCCTCACATTGAGGGCCTTCGCTGATTTGGAAGGGGCATACTATAACACTACATATCCTTATATTGAAAGGGGCATACAATAACACTATATATCCTGATATATTGAAAGGGCATACCTTAACACTATATATCGTGATATATTTAAGGGGCATACTATAACACTACATATCCTTATATTGAAAGGGCATACAATAACACTATATATCCTGATATATTGAAAGGGCATACCTTAACACTATATATCGTGATATATTTAAGGGGCATACTATAACACTACATATCCTTATATTGAAAGGGGCATACAATAACACTATATATCCTGATATATTGAAAGGGCATACCTTAACACTATATATCGTGATATATTTAAGGGGCATACTATAACACTACATATCCTTATATTGAAAGGGCATACAATAACACTATATATCCTGATATATTGAAAGGGCATACCTTAACACTATATATCGTGATATATTTAAGGGGCATACTATAACACTACATATCCTTATATTGAAAGGGCATACAATAACACTATATATCCTGATATATTGAAAGGGCATACCTTAACACTATATATCCTGATATATTTAAGGGGCATACTATACTATACACTACATATCCTTATATTGAAAGGGCATACAATAACACTATATATCCTGATATATTGAAAGGGCATACCTTAACACTATATATCCTGATATATTAAAGGGGCATACTATTACACTACATATCCTGATATAATTGAAGGGGCATACAATTACAATAACACTATATATCCTGATATATTTAAAGGGCATACAATAACACTATATATCCTGATATATTGAAAGGGCATACCTTAACACTATATATCGTGATATATTTAAGGGGTATACTATTACATTACATATCCTGATATATTAAAGGGCAATAACACTATATATCCTGATATATTGAAAGGGCATACCTTAACAATATATATCGTGATATATTTAAGGGGCATACTATAACACTACATATCCTTATATTGAAAGGGCATACAATAACACTATATATCCTGATATATTGAAAGGGCATACCTTAACACTATATATCGTGATATATTTAAGGGGCATACTATTACATTACATATCCTGATATATTGAAGGGCAATAACACTATATATCCTTATATATTGAAAGGGCATACCTTAACACTATATATATCGTGATATATTTAAGGGGCATACTATAACACTATATATCCTGATATATTGTAGGGCTGTTGTACTATATATCCTAACATATTGTAGGGGCTGTTGTACTGTTGCATTAAATACCCTGATATCCTTACATCAAATGTCTCAACTGGTTGCGGGCTTACCATCACATATACATATCGTGATATAGCATGGTCATGGTATCACACTGAATACCCTGCTGTAGAAAGGGCATGTCCTGCCATAACATATTCTAATTTGGTGTGACCTATCCAACATTGAGCTCCCCTGACAGCCAGCAACTCAAGGTGAATGGGTCAGGACATCAATACATGTTTATACTACGATCTCACTAAATAAGGAAACATAAAACATCCAAAGCTAGCAATTACAGCACCTGTTTCATACTGCAAATATAGGTCATGGCAAAGGCCTACTGCAAAGCTGGCAAGCTCATTCTGGTCAGCGGACCTCTCGCGTGTGGCAATGTGTACAGACTAATACAATATTAGAAATTAAATATTAGCAACGAAATGAATGTGTCACATAGAATTTTTACAGGTTGCAAAATGAACAAACCCAAAACAGATATAAAAAAAGTTTCTGTATGCAATATTTAAACATAATTTTTATGTTCAGTGGCAAGATATTCTGCTGGAGGCGTGAGTGATAGGAGAGGGTGAGTGTGGTTAAAGGCTGTATTTTCAGCAATATTCTAGCTATATCACTGCTTGGGGCAACAGAAATAGGCTGTACTCATGTGGGGACTCTGATCTTTCGAAGTGACGAGATAATACCACTAGGCTACCCCACTGCCCCATATGAGGTAAGTGCTGGACTTGTGAAATCTTATTGATAATGTAACAGTTATTACACCCAGAGGAACAATGCAGATTTCCAATTTTAGATCATAAAAAAATTAACAAACTGACGTCCCATCACTTCAAAACTGGACATTAACTTTAGGTTTTCAAACATCAACCGTTTGCCTCTAGTGGACTAGGAATTAAATTTACGACAATTGTTAACAACAGTCCAGGTTTGTATTTCCTACCGTTGTATGTGACCTATAAACAGTATTGAGTGTTTGCATTCCTGCAGTACTTACGTCAACACAGTGGAGGATGCTATGAGATGATGGAGAGAAGATAGCACTGATGTAGAAGCCATGCACACATTCCCTAAACACCTGCCTGTGTTGTAGTCAGGGGCAGTGTCACATTACAGGCAGTGTCTAGATCTGGCCTTGTTTTATGGTTTGTTTAAGGCATGAGTGAGTGTGTTACTATTTGTTTAAGGCATGAGTGAGTGAGTGTTACTGTTTGTTTAAGGCATGAGTGAGTGTTTCTATTTGTTTAAGGCATGAGTGAGTGAGTGTTACTGTTTGTTTAAGGCATGAGTGAGTGTTACTGTTTGTTTAAGGCATGAGTGAGTGTTACTATTTGTTTAAGGCATGAGTGAGTGTTACTATTTGTTTAAGGCATGAGTGAGTGTTACTGTTTGTTTAAGGCATGAGTGAGTGCATTTGTGCATGAGTGAGTGAGTGTTACTGTTTGTTTAAGGCTATTTGTTTAAGGCATGAGTTTGTTTAAGGTGTGAGTGCAAGATCAGTGTGTTACTGTTTGTTTAAGGCATGACATGATGAGTGAGTGTTACTGTTTGTTTAAGGCATGAGTGAGTGTTTGTTTAAGGCATGAGTGAGTGTTACTGTTTGTTTAAGGCATGATGTTACTGTTTGTTTAAGGCATGAGAGTGAGTGCAAGATCAGTGTGTCACTGTTTGTTTAAGGCATGAGTGAGTGCAAGATCAGTGTGTTACTGTTTGTTTAAGGCATGAGTGAGTGTTACTGTTTGTTTTAGGCATGAGTGAGTGTTACTGTTTGTTTAAGGCATGAGTGAGTGTTACTGTTTGTTTAAGGCATGAGTGAGTGTTACTGTTTGTTTAAGGCATGAGTGAGTGTTACTGTTTGTTTAAGGCATGAGTGAGTGAGTGTTACTATTTGTTTAAGGCATGAGTGAGTGTTACTGTTTGTTTAAGGCATGAGTGAGTGTTACTGTTTGTTTAAGGCATGAGTGAGTGTTACTGTTTGTTTAAGGCATGAGTGAGTGTTACTGTTTGTTTAAGGCATGAGTGAGTGTTACTATTTGTTTAAGGCATGAGTGAGTGAGTGTTACTGTTTGTTTAAGGCATGAGTGAGTGCAAGATCAGTGTGTCACTGTTTGTTTAAGGCATGAGAGTGAGTGCAAGATCAGTGTGTCACTGTTTGTTTAAGGCATGAGAGTGAGTGCAAGATGAGTGAGTCACTGTTTGTTTAAGGCATGAGAGTGAGTGCAAGATCAGTGTGTCACTGTTTGTTTAAGGCATGAGTGAGTGAGGGTTACTGTTTGTTTAAGGTATGAGTGAACGAGCTATATTGAGAGTGAGTGAGTGATTGAGTGAGTGCGAGAGCGAGCTATATTCAAGCTATATCACTGTCGGTAATTAATGAAGTGCAAACAGTTCATTTCTAGAATGATTCATGCTGGTCAGGTAAGATGACACACTTGTACCCAGGTACACTATATAATCATTCGTTACAATGAACTGCTCAAACAAGCATGTATATGGTGCTTGGGTAGTACTGGGAGTCCTAAGTCACGATCTCATATGTGTTAAGGCATGGTTACTATACAGCTATTCTACGTAGCCTAAGTAGCAGATAGACGTAAGGCAATAAAAGATGGAGTGCAGCAGCTGAAGGGCAGGGAGGGGCACCTGTGAGGAGCGTGAGCAGCTGATGACAGGAACACAAGCGGTGGCAGCAGTGAAACATAAACTAGAATAGGGTAGAAAGTTAGAACACCTGCGAATATGTGGCATAGGGCTACCTGGGGTGGGAGAGACAGGCTCTAAGACGACGCTGTCCAGGTGTTGCTGGCCGGGCAGTGATGACGGAGGTGGCTGGGGGGAGCGGGACTGGTCGGAGTGGAGCCCACCCCTCTCCATGCCTTGAGGACTGTTGTGTTTGCTGGGTACCCTCAGGCCCTCACTTTCTACCCCCGAGTGAGGGGAGGGGCATGGCATTGAAGACGAGGACAGAGATTCCTGGTGGCTAGAAGCTTCGATTTCCTGCTGTAAATATAACATAATATCAATCATGCTTCATATGTTACATCTGACGATTTTGATGATTGCATATTCAATAGGCAGCCCTAGTAATTTTGAAAGTTTATGGCTCCCAAACATGCTGAGAATTTGTTAACTTTCATTCACGATTGTTAATGTATTTGATATCAGTGTCTTGAGGGTAAAAGTACTGTTATCCAGATACAGCAGCAGGGAGATAGGTGATGTCTTGTGATTGTCACAGTGGTCAGCAAAGCATTCTGATGCAATTTCATTGTCAGGATCTCAGCAAAGTGATATCTCCAGTGGAATCCAGTTGGGATGAGTGAGTGAGTGAGTGAGTTTGGTTTTAAGCCACTTTTAGCAATATTTCAGCAATATCACGGCGGGGACACCAGAAATGGGCTTCACACATTGTACCCATGTGGGAATCAAACCCTGGTCTCCAGCGTCACGAGCGGACGCTTCAACCACTAGGCTACACCGCCGCCCCCAGTTTGGGATGAAAATATGAATCTTGCAGTCAATAATAACCCTAATTTTACAGGCATGTCTAAGTTTCATACAAGACATTATTTTCACTGTCTCAACCATAGAAATGGCCTCAAACAAACCCCTTAAACTTATTATCAGCTGTGCAACCAAATCTTAGCACCCTACACAAAAAACACCCTGACATTTACCTCATCAAATAATTCTTGGAATTCTGTCAGTAACACAATCACTCTATACACATGGGATTTGTCAACTAAAATGTAATTTTCTGAATAAAATTGATATTTTATACTTATCCTGACTCATGCTCTTTTCGCTTGTCTTCTTCTTGCGAACATAGTGGAACACTTGTATCTCCCTAATTGAAGATCCCTTCAATTTAAAATCACTAATTAGTACTCACCAAGAGTTGCCCCTCTTTGCCTTTTGGCGGGAAAGACGGCGCCACCGTTCCCCACATGCTTCACTATCTCCTGTTTAACGAGCCTAACACTTGAACTTTCTGGGAAATCTAAAAGTGTCATGTGGGGAGGATGGGAGGGCTTACCTCATGAGTCAGGATAAGTATAAAATATCAATTTTATTCAGAAAATTACATATTTTTCCTTATCCTGACTCATGCTCTTTTTGCTTGTAGAATCCGACGGAATCGGAGGTGGGAACAGATACTTTGGATTTTAATTAGTGATTTAAGATGTAATAACCCCCTACGGGAACTTCATAATGGCACTGTAATTAAATTAATTTCTGCTGCTATCATACATAAGTTCTACCAGCTGCCATAGATGGGGGTACTACAATATTAAAATAATATAGAAATAAAGCGACTCCAAAGTGGAGAAGCAACCCAATTGTACAGGTAACACAGGTAACCCAGGTTTAAGACTAAGGTAGGCTTAAGATATACATAACTAGCAAATACTCCGTAGAGTTGTAAGCTTGATAAATACTGATATAGTATATACAGATATAATCTCGTGAGACTATGTCTCATCGTCTATGAGGAACTGTCAACTGCTGTGCGAGGACCAGAGGACCGAAATGGTGAATGCCTGAGGCGTCACTCGGTGGCGATATATCTCTCAGGTAGTGGATAGCAAACACCACCATGTCCGATCTCCAGAAACAGCCCTCCATGATGGTATTCAGCGAGCAATTTCCATGTAGAGCGAGTGTAGAAGCCAGTGCTCTAATTTCAGAAAGTGAGGATTAGATGCTCTTGGAGGTCGAGTCCTATAGTCTTGTAGGCTCGTAGTATGACAGTTCTGATCCATATAGAAATCGGTTGACCTGGCAGTTGTGGCGAGAGTCCCTTGCGCATTTGCATCCGTGTTTTAATCGCATGGATTTTCCGACCTTTGTCTAGGGTGCACAGAGGTAGTCTCGCCACTAGTGAGGATGTGTCACTTTCATGGCTGTGAAACCGATCCTCATGGCGAAATGTATCTTTTTTCTTTTTTTTGTCACGAAGCATCACTACTTTGTCGTCAGACAAGTCGTGAAGAGTTGTGTGAACTGCGTAAAGCTAGTGTGATTGCTTTTCGCTGCTCTGGCAAAATATCCTCTCTTGTTCAAGCATGCTTGATACAGTCCACACGTGTAGCCGGAACACCTCCGGGCTGCCGTGCGCCTGCTTTGTGTGAGGATGTACTAGTAGATTCGTACACTCTGGTAGTTGCAGTAGAAGCAGTCCTAGGTCTTGTATGAGAATAGGAATTCATATTCTCGCTGGTCAAAAGGCGTGCCCCAATTAGTTGTGGGTCTCTCGCCTGACTGATTTCTGCAATACCCTAGGTATTAGAGCTGGTGGAGAAACACGTAAGTGTTTTAGACCTAGGCAGGAGATGCTTCACATGTCCGTTGCCCCTGTGTTATCAGTTGACCCTTGTGGGGAAGAAATCTCTTCAAGGTTCAACCATCTCTTATATGATCTGTTTGAAGATCTCTGAATGTAGCATCCAGTCTGTTGAGAATGGCTGCGTTGGACACGATAGTGTATTGCTAACACATTCTTGGTTCTTGAGAATGTGGCATATTCTGCTGTGGACAGTCAGGTTGACTGTTACGCTGATCAACTGAAAGCAGAGGTCAAGAAGGTTCGCCAACTTTGTTGATCCTTCTGTAACTGTAGACCGTCACTGTGGAGGTGACTGTGTGTACCGTTAGATGAGCATTTAATAAAAAGCTGATCCGATTGGAGTATGGCGTTTATTGCTGCTTTCATTTCCAACCTGTGGAAGTGCAGATTGTCTCTGCTATGGTCCATATCACAGCTGACATATTGTTGTCAAGGTGTGCTCCCACTCCTAGGAGAGATCGTCCCCATAGAGATCGTCTTGTACTGCGACTCTGCTAATTAGGTGCGTCTGCAACCCTCCTCGCGCGACGGAGTTCACCATATATAGATATGGGTTATAATCTGTCCGGATCGTCCGGTTGTACATTCATGAAGACCAGTAGTGGGAGTAGTTATAATTCTCTTTGCATGTCAACAGATTCCGCCACTTTGTAGTAAAAAACGAAGAGAGTAGTGCTTGAGATACAAGAACTTGTATCTATATCCTACGATCTTGACACCCTTACCGTGTCTGTAAGGAAATGAAGCGATGGCCGACTCTGTGACTGCCATCGTTGAAACTTTATGTAAAAATCGCCTGGCTGCCGTGCCCTCGTCTTTAATGATGACAGGGGAGGTCTCTAACCCCATGAAGGCAGCCAAATCACAAAGGTCCAGTCTAACTGGACTGTAATGGAGGCGTTGCTCGCTCGCTGACATGTTGTTGTCACTTGCAACCCATGTCTTGATCTGTGAACTACGTCCGGCCTCTTCGCAGGGCGTTGTCCCTCGTGGTCCAATCAAAACAAAGCATTTTGATTCTGTAGGCTAGCCGCGCTGTGATGTCACCGGTGTAGCAGGAAAAAGATCCTTGTAGAATCTAGTGCCGTCGTTGATATCTGATCAATCGTCGGTCTTGTCCGTAGTTTTCCGAAGTTACACGAGTGACCACGTGTGTCGAAGGTTAAATGGTAAACGCACGAATATTTCGGCGCGTAATATCGATGCTGGGTAGGTTGTTTTCCTGGCTGCTGTGACTCTTACTTCAGTCTTGAAGATAATGCCGTCGTCCTTATACATAGGCTCAATTAAACTTTTACGTTGTCAGCTTGTAGACTGCATACATCAATGAAGCGTCGTAATTGTAGAATTAATGCTGAACTTGTTGTAAATTTTTTCTCAGGGAATCGTTGACGATTATGTATTTTTCTCGCTGTAGCAAGGCTGCTGTTGAATTCCGCCATTGAGAATGTCTGCAGATCTGTACGAAAGTGAAGATCTCTATAAGGCCATGATTCTTCTAATGTAGATATATCAATCTATGTGAATCCCATCCTGGATTCCGTCTGAAGGTCCGAGCTAGTGATGAATTCTGACAAAAGTATCTCTCTTGTACTGTATTACCTATCTTCAGTCTGTGTACCGATGAAGATTTTATCCCTCTAGGATGACGCTACTTTGTGTCCTAGTTGAATAACCTTGACGATCTGCGTGAGTGATCTGCGCGAGTGGTCGAAGCTTTGGTGTGACTGTATGGCTTTGCATGTAGATAATCATCTCAGTAGTCCGGAATTGCCTACCTGGCAATATATCACGAAATGGTGATTCCCATGATGATCTCGCGAAGCGTCGTTGATGCCCTTGATGTAGGTAGTCGGTCTGAAGATCCTTTATTAGGCTCTTCATCTGTTGACAGTCTCTGAAGATAGCCGCCCTTCGCGTAAATTGAAGACTATAATTAGCGCTCTGTTAAAAGTTAAGTACTTCGACGCCTCTGCCTTGTGGATGGCCTGTGCGAATGCCTTCGCGCAGGCTCGGTGATGACATATAGCGTTCTGTTGAGAATGTAAGTACTGCGGCGTTTCTGCGTTGTAGATGGCCTGCGCGAATGCCTTCGCGCAGGCTTGTAGACGGCATGCGGCGTACAGTTGAGAGACGAAGTACTGCGATGTCTCTGCTTCGCTGAAGACCTGTGTGACGACCTGCGTGAAGACCTTCATGGAGACCTGCGCGGAGACCTGTGTGGGGATCTGCGTGGAAATTTGGTGAGGAGATCGACGTGGTGAATAGTCCGACGAACTGTGCCTGTAGGGTGACCTGTGCTTTCGCGAAGGTCCTGGTGAATCCCTCGACGATATATAGGACAAAGTTGTCTTGTATACTGTAGCTAACGTCCTTCGCGAAGGCTCATCTACGTCCGCACTTGGGGAGTGGTGACTGGTCCTTCGCGAACGCCTTCGCGAATGCCTTCGCGAACGCTGGTTGTCCAATTCTGTATCCTGCGTTGGAACCTTCGCGAAGGCTCGGGACCTCGTTGTGGGCTGTGACTTCTTCTCCAGGCCGTAACGCTGATCATCTTCTGCATAAAGTCCCCCGGTTTGAAGGTCTGCGGTGGTAGTAGCGCTGCCCTTTCTGCGTTGATAGCGACGTGGTCCACAGGACGCTCATCTGTTGTCATCGTAGATACCTCGGGTACCGTGGAGATCTGCGCTGAAGTCACCAAAGGTGACTGGTCGTTACTTGTGATGAACCTCTGGGAAGATGATCGGTTGATCATCGGAGAGTCCCTGTACCGTCAACGGAACAATCTCGGCAGAGAAAGTTCTTGTAGTCTGCGCAGACGTCCTCGTAGAGTTGTCGTCATCTAAGGGGTGTGTAGCCTTCTCTGGGTAGAGGATGGTGTCTATACATCGTCTGCCGAAGTTGTAGAAGCTGCCCTATCTGCGTTGGTGGCGACGGGACCCATGGGAAGATCATCAGTCATCAGCGTTGATACATCGAGCTGATTGTGGATCTGCGCTGACATCACTGTAGCTGATACCGGTCGTTTCTTGTGATGAACATCGGGAATGATGAGCGGCTGCTCATCATACAGGCCCTGTTCTGCGACGGGAACAATCTCGGCCGAGGAAGTTCGTGCGGTCTGCGCTGGCTTCCCCTTGGTGGTAGACGCTGCCCTGGGGGTGCGGATTCTGCGCTGAAATGTAGATGCCCTCTTAGTCTAGACTGCGACGACGGGATGTCTGGTGATGCAGATCGCTTCTTGGAGACGGCGGACTGCATCCCACGCCTCTCCTCCAAGAGTACTCCAGCTGAACACCAGACGGGAGGGGGTCATCCGACAGCAGTTGACTTGAGAGGGATTCAGCCGCATATCCATGCCTGACCTATCTGCTGTGCGTCACAAGACGCAAAGTAAATATTTGTTAAATGCAGAATTATAAATTTTTATTGCAAAAACTGCAACCTGAACTGAAAGAACATGGTACAGTACGGCTAGGGCATATTAAATGCGGATCAGCAGCAGAAAAACGTAACTTGCAAACAGTACAGATTTTTTCATGAACGTAACCTACTGAACAAACACGGAATACACTGCGAATAAACAGCAGTAAATACAAATAATTATCAAAACATATTGTTGAAGGATACTAGGTAAACCTCTATAAGGGACTTTTTAGAGGTAATTAAGTAAAATTAATCAAAGGATATAGTGCCGTAGGGAGACACAGGCGCTCTCACATCCTGCTCACTGGGAAGGAGAGAGTGGAGCATGTGGGGAACGGTGGCACCGTCTTTCCCGCCAAAAGGCAAAGAGGGGCAACTCTTGGTGAGTACTAATTAGTGATTTTAAATTGAAGGGAGCTTCAATTAGGGAGATACAAGTGTTCCACTATGTTCGCAAGAAGAAGAAGACAAGCAAAAAGAGCATGAGTCAGGATAAGGAAAAATCATGGATATTGTAATCATGGCAACATGCATGCCTTAAACACTGTAATGACATTATGTTGCCATGGCTACTGTGCCCACCTGCTGCTGTACCCTCTTCTTCCACTTGGCGTGGTAGACTTGTTCATAGTGGGGGTTGCTTGCAGAGTAACTTCGGGGCCGCTGGGGGTCAGATGAGGAACCCACCTCAGACGGGGACGTCCGAGACACTGGGGGCGTCAGGCTTGTCATTAAAGACGGGTGTGGCTCAGCTATCAAAGATGGGGTGGAGGACACTGGTTGTCCTGTGGCTGGAAGATAAGTAGCTGAGTCAGCAATATCAAATCCATATCTGTACAGTCTATATACAAATAGTTGTCAGCAATATTACAGTTTTATCCATGAGACCAGATAACTATCAGTTAGTTTTCAGCAATATTAAGCTTATACTTTGTCACCCTAAAACCTCAGTCATATTTGATAACAGCTTATTATTTGCTTGCTTGATGTTTAACACCTTACGATGTTACGACTTACAAGTTACACTGTTAGGGTATGACATAATACAGTCACAGGTCCTGAGCAAATGATCCATCCAGTCACCGTCTACACCCAGCAGAGGTTGCTGTACAACATGCATGGTATCTACAGAGATGACTTACTTCCACTACTGTTGATTTGGCTGAGGAGACTCGCACCTTTGTTCTGTCCCAACCTTTTGCTGTGGTAGTCGTTGGTAATGATTGCATCGATGTGTTCCCCTAGAGTTATGGCCTTAGATGAAGATCCTGAGCTCTGACCCCCAGAATGACTGGTCTGACCATGACCTTGAGACTGTGAAGAAGCTTGCCCATGACCCTGAGAGTGGGGAGGTCCAGGATGACCTTGACCTTGACCTTGATGCTGCATCTGATTCTGACTTTGACTAAATTGAAGGAGCCTGGGCCTGGGCCTGGGCCTGAGCCTGAGCCTGAGCCTGAGCCTGAGCCTGGCCTGAGCTTGTGCTTGTGCTTGTGCTTGTGCGTGAGCTTGTGCTTGTGCTTGTGCTTGAGCGTACTGTTGATTTGCCTGCTGTGCTGCATGGAACTGACGTAATGCATTGGGGCCAGGGATATGTCCAATATGAGGGCCATTCCCTTCCCGGTCCAACTGTCTTGAAGCCATGGCTGAAATAATTTGTTGTCCAGAATGAGCCAAACTTTGTCTTTCTGCTTCCATCTCAGATCGTGACTGCACTTGGGGATCACTGTGGTACTTGCGAGGTGGCTTGTACTGTCCTTGAAGACCAGGATCCGAAGTGTCCATACTCTGAGGTGGTTTGTTCATCTCTGGCTGTCTACTCATCGGTGGTGTTGTCCCAGCAGCTGGTCTGCGCTCATTCTTTTTCTCTTCCGGATTCGCATGATGGATCTCGTGGGTGATGATTGCATCAATCAGAGTCGCTGCTGTCAGACTTCTTGCAGCAGTGCTGGTAGATGTCGGCTGGGTAACTGTGTGGGCCACAGCAGAGTCTTTCTGGAAGGCCGAAAGGATCATTGCTGATCCTGGTAGGTCTCCTGTCATTTGACGGATATAGTTTGGATCTGTCATTTGTCTCTGAGGAGTGGAGTCTGAGGATGATTGTACTTCCGCCTGCCTGGGTTCTCTGTCCACATACATTGGTTCATCTCTGTCCCTGACATCCCTGACGTCTGGTTTAGCGTACATCATCCCCGACTCATGTACCATGCGTCCATCTCTCGGATACATCTGTGCCTCTGGCATCCTCTCATGCTCCCTCCGGCCATGTTCTGGCATCTGTCGGGCATCATACGCTCGGGGCTTCTGAGCATGCTCCTCTCGCTGCTGGAGCTGGTTCCAAGGACCAGACATGCCCATCCTCTCCTCCTTCTGCTGGTCTGGGTACCGATACTGCATCTGTTGACTCGGCGATAGACGAGGTCGGCTGTTTGGGTCTCTTACCATCAACATGGTGTGCGACATCTGTGCCTCAGCATGCCTCTGCTCTGCTTGTCTGGGAGACATAGCCTGTCGCTGGACGCTTGTGCTGTCGGGTCCGCTGCTTTGCTGCTCAATTCGGGAGGACATCATCTCTGACATGTGGGGTGGCTTGCCAGTGCCCATGACAATGCTAGGTCTCTGTGGGTGGTGCTGGTCCAAGGGAAGGGTGGATGCTGTGGATGAGGGGATGTGATGTACATGGGGGCGGCCCCACATTCCTTTTTCATCCCTCGGTGATGGTGTTGCGCGCGGAGGTAAAGGTGATGTCTTTCCTTGAGCTCGGTCAGCAGAGGAAGCTGGAATCTGAGCTGGATTAACATAAACAACTGTGTTGCGCGTGCACAGGAAAGATAGCTTGCATCCTTGGGTCCATGCTTCGAGGATCAACATTTCCAGGGAAGTTTCTAGGTGCATTTTCTCTTCCTCTAGGAGACAAACGTCCATCTTTTTCCTGCGCAGCTGGTGACCTTCGAGGCATCTGCTTGGCAGTCATATAGTCACTCATTATTGTTTGCTTGGAACTGCTGTAGGGCTGCTCTGGATATTGATACTGGTAGTACTGTGGCTTAGATACCTCCCCTCTCTCATAGCCTCCAGGCACAGGGGGTCTGTAGGGACCCTCATACATGGGATGACCCCTGCCCATAGATCCAGGGTCAATCATGCCTGGCATCCTCGGCATCCCCTCAGGTGGCATCCCTCTCCCGACACCCCCTTCACGGTTCATGGGGGTACCTTTAGTGATCGACCCTTCCATTCGCTGTGCAGCAGATGGTGGTGTTGGCTGCCGTGATACTCCTTCCATTCTCCTTCCGATAGGGCTTGTAGTCATGGGGTGACCCACAGGGGAGGGAGTGGAGTGGTGACTGACCGGCGTGCCATGGGTGATGGACCCTGGGGGTATCATCAGATGAGGCCCCCCTTGGGGTGAGCGGGTCAGTTTTGGGGAGGTCTTGGCAGAGTTGTTAATCAGTGGTGGAGGAGGTGGGATTCTGGAAGCTGGTGATCTCACAGATTCAGGTCCATAAGGGGAACTACACTGTGGGGGTATGCCACCTCGTACTGCCGGAGACAACGACCGGCCATGTTCTGGAGGATACAAAGATGGGGATTTGTCTCTCATTTCTGGCTGTCTTCCTCGACTTGCATCAGACTGGTGCACAGATGGAGTCCCATGGTGTGAATGGGCCGGTGGTGGCACAACCATCTGACTGGGAACCCTTTCAGCTGCTCTTGTGTAGGAGTCAAATGTGCGTTGTCTATGAGGATCAAAGTCACGAGGGTCTCCTTTATAGCCATGAGGTCCTTTGTCTGTGAAATCTAGAGGCCTCCTTGACAAGTCTGTAGCATCCTTGGACTCCCTGTGATCATGTGGCCCTTCTCTCTCCATGTGTCTGGCCATGCTGTACGGGGCATGGAGCGCGAGTCACCCTGCATGGGGGGCATGATTGGCTCTCGCTTCTCTTTACGCAGATCCTGGGGCATCCCCGAGTTCGACATTTGTGCAGCTGGTGGTCTCTGGTTCGGGTCTGAAGATGGTGGTCCTGCAATAAGAAAATAAAGAGTTATTAACCACATTTGGTTTCTATAGGCAACATTTTATGGCATTACAGTGAAAACAAATATGATTGTGTCTCTACGTTAAGTCAGTAGTTGGTGTTCCGGAGGTTATAGGAGGTCAACAATTTACGCTAGTTAAGACATACACTGCTACAAAAAGAAAGCATGACCAATGATTCTGAATGTTTAACAATGTCATCACTTTCTCTGACTTTAAAGCAATCACTTTCTCTGACATTAAAGTCTGTTTTCTGGTCACTGAAGATGGTGGTCTTTGATAAAAACACACAAGTAACCACAATTCTTGTAACGTAAGTGAGAGGCAACCACAGCTGCTGACCAGCAAGATAATCAACTCACTGCTCCTGTCCTGCATTTGGTCAGAGTATCTTTCACTGGGCTGTCCAAGGTTCCTCTCGATGGCTGAGTGGATCAAGTCTCGGACACATGCCGGCTTCATTGGTTTCTTATCCATGACAAACTGCTGGGGGTGGGGTGAGATGGCACTGCGACTCCCCTCAGAGTGTGTGCTGGGGGGACGTGGTGAGAGGCGGATGTCTGGAGCCATCAGGTGGCTTGGGAAGGGAGAAGCTGACTTGCTGGCATTGGAGAAATCAATGACATTCTGATCTCTCTGACTTGGATGCCCTTCTGGTCGGAGGTTTGCCCCTGGGTTTGGTGTTGAATGTTGTGGTTGTTCTCGTGGGGCAGGGATTGGGCTGGCACTCAGTGAGATGGGAGGAGGCTGACTGATGGGAGTGCCAGTGTTTGAGCGGGGTCGTGGGCTGTGAGACTTCAGGTCATTCGATTCTGCTGCAATAACACATTGATTAGACACAAGTAGCAATCAAGCCTTATTGATAAAGTTTGATCTCCTCATTTCTTCTTTTGATAAAGATACTGAGACAATTTAAACTGTTTACATATACATATCATTCATAATCAGAGTATCCCAAACTTACATAAACATCTGTCTCAAAAGTCATCCAGTATATGGACAAAACTAAAATATGCACACTGAAGCTCTTGATGAAATAAGCCAATCAAACATGTCACAAATTCAACAGGAAATTCATAATGCTTGGCCATCAAGTTTGTGTTATTGCTCCTGACTGATAAAAAGTGTCTAACATTCAAGGTCTTTCTTAGCTGCTACAGTCATATAAGGGCTGGCTAAAATGGTGAGGTGAGGTGAGGTGAAATTGAGTTTAACGTCGTGCTTGAGAATATTTCGCTCATATGACGACGTGCATGCGTGTGTATGTGTATGTGTATGTGCGGCTGCTTGTACTAGCCCAGACTTAAGCTGGTTTTATAGTGCTAGCTCACTGAGATACCATGCCGCAGTGAAGCATGAATACCCAACTCAGACACAGTATACTGACTCAGAGCCGACCAGTCCTTGTTGTACCCATTAATGCCGAGCGCCAGGCAGGGACCAACAAGTACCATATTTTAACGTCTTTTGGTATGACGCGGTCGGGGATCGAACCCGCGACCTTCCGCTCTCCGGGCTCTCCGCTCTAACCACTACACCACGGAGGCGGGTCGCTGGCTAAAATGAGTTATAATCATAACAAATATTGTCGATGGGAAAAACTATTTATGATTACCGACATGAAAATTGTGTCTTTGATAATATTTCACAAAGTTACATCTTTATTCACGGGCCACTTCTAAACTATGTGACCGCCTCGTGGTGTAGTGGTTAGAGCGTCTGCCTGAAGAGTGGGTTCGATCCTCAGCCTCGTCACACCAAAAGACGTTACAATATGGTACTTATTGGTCCCTTCCTGGCGCTCAGCATTAATAGGTACAAGGACTGGTCGGCTCAGGAGTCAGTTTAATGGGTCTGAGAGGGGTATTCATGCTCAACTGTGGCATGGTATCTCAGTGAACTAGCACTATAAAACTTAAGTCTGGGCTAGTACAAGCATATGCACGTTGTCATATGAGCGAAATAATCTTAACCCCATTTCACCTCACCTCACCTCTACACTATGTTCAGAATGTTGTTGGTAATCTATGTTTAAATGTGAAAACTTTCCTCAGTGACCTGAAATATGCTGATTCTTTATTGTTGCTCAAATACACTTATCCGAGATCTATTAATAACTGCCTGGTATTTCGGTAAATTACCAATATCTATGACCCGTATTGAGATAGCCAGCCCTTGTAGCCATTCAATTCTTTCTCAAACTAAAAACGGTTATGTTGACTCACCCGTTGGTTGGCTGACTGGCCTTGGTGGTGGTGGTGGGGCTACATGTGGGGGTGGTTCTGGGTGGGGATGGTGTGATATGGCCCCTGCCCCAGGTCCTGGCCCTGGCCCCTCATCAGCACTCATTGTGGCACTGCTGTCATTGTCAGGGATGCTTCTGAGGCTGCCCTGGCTGGCGCTCAGTGTCTTGTTACGGGACAGATTCTCCTGCGTCAGGCTGAGGGTGGGCCCTGGTGGGTCCATCTCAGTCTCCCTTGGGGGCTGGATCGGATCCATCTTTGGAACAGAATCCTCACCTATGAAAAGTAAGGTACAAATTAACACCAAAAACCAAAACCAAGGTCGATTTACACAAAACAGCAGCAGTGCTCAGACAACTGTAAAATTGTCAATATTATTTATTATTATGGGGAAATTTTAACACATCACTTCAATATTCTGTCTATATGACAGCCACTATCTGTATGTTAACCTGTGATCACCAAATGCCCCCGTCCTTTTCGGGAATGCTGTTCTTATACTTGCTGATGACATGATTCATCTCGTGACTCACCATCGTCGATGGGCAGCGTTGTAGGACTTGGGGCACTGGCAGTGTCAGAGTCATCATCTGCACCATTGTCTTCATCGCTGGACAGCATCTCTGCATCCGAGGCTGCTGTTACTGTCGATGCCACACTTTCAGAAATAGATGTTGTCCTCTTGTCAGCCTGCTCAAGGTGAATTAATAATCATTATTCTGAACCTCTCAACTACAAACATTGAATAAGTGAAAGACTTTCAAAGTGACTTTGTAATCTGATTCAGTCATGACATGATTTATCAAGAATTAGTCAGAACATTCGCTATTTTGAACCATGTTTCATAATCCTCTGATGATGACCTTATACAGTCAACAAAAGAATGATGGGAAGGGAAAGCTCACCTTATATGGTCAACAAAATTTAATACAATCAAGATCCTGCCTTTGAGATGTTGTACACTAAGTTTCTTCAGTTTTCATTCAAAATTACTCCAAGTTACAGTATATACAAGTATACTTGATGTACAGTTCAATCCAGTCACATAAGACTGACTGAGTGAGTGAGTGACTGATGGAAAATGTCTGGATCAGACAGTACAGTGATTTCTACAAGCGAGTGGGCTATCAAGACAGGCATTCAACCAAAGTGAGTGAGTTTAATTTGACGCCGCTTTTAGCAATATTCCAGTAATATCACAACGGGGTAACCAGAAATGGGCTTCACACATTGTACCAATGTGGGGAATCGAACCCAGGTCTTTGGCATGACGAGCAAACGCTTTAACCACTAGGCTACCCCCAGTCATATAAGACATGTCAGAAACATTTGTCAAGGTTAAATGGGAGGAGTATCAAGTCTAACATCTGTAATAATTGTGTGGTTGAGAAAGCGGTGTCTGGCCTGTTCATGGGTACAACTGAAGGCCTCACCTTGTCCTTGTGTTCCTGGAGAATGGCCTCCAAGTTGAATTTCTTCTTGTAGTTGAAGTAAAAGTTCTTGCACTGTGCCTCAGTCTTGGTCCCCACCATCCCGGCTATAGCAGACCAGTCTCGACCGTGCTCCCTCAGACCTGAACACAAGGCAGATCATGACTACTAGGCAACACTGAGTGAGTGAGTACGGCTTTGGTGTACGGACATTTCCCCATCAGGACAATTCCCCACTAGGACAATCAGGGCTCGATTTAGTGCTTTATTACTTGCACTGGTGCAACCCAATTTTACAAAGTGCAACCTAGTTATGAGTCTAACTTGCGCCAGGTGCAAGTCAATTTTGGAGTGGGTAAACTTCTGAATAAAACATCTAAATAATTCAATGGCATATTTCTGATATTACATATTGCAATAAAACAGTGCAACTGGAATTTGACTGGTGCAACTAGGTTTTTATCTTAGGTTGCACCTGGTGCAAGTGGGTTAACATATCTTAATTCGAGCCCTGACAATTCCCCCACATGACAATTCCCCATCTTGACATTTCCCCACACCTGTTTTGTAACCAGTAGGACAATTCCCCACACCCATCACAAATAATGAACAAACACAAGCTGAGATTATATATATATTGTATTGAACAAACACAAGCTGAGACTGTATATATATTGTATTGAACAAACACAAGCTGAGATTGTATATATTTTATTGTAAATCTCATTTTATCTTGGAGTCATTCCTGCTTGACAACGGTACAAGAATCTGTATCGAAACGTCGCACTCTACGCCGTTTTTAGCAATATTCCAGCAATATCATGGCAGGAGACAGCAGAAGTGGGCTTCACATATTGTTCCCATGTCAAGAATCGAACCTTTGGCATGATGAGCCAACTGTTTTTATTTGACCAGGCAACAGGTACACACTGGGAACTGAGCCAGAGCCAGGTGTGCGAGAAGGATGGAGACGACACAGACAGATAAATGAATCAATAACTTTGACGGCACTTGTGCACGTACATACACCTGGCTGTTCCTCTCTTCGCACTCCTCCTTCATAACACTGACTGCCAAGCAATATTCCAGTGAACTGTGTCAATACGCTTTTTAATGATAGTATATTTAAAATAAAATGTAATTCTTTGATTAAAATTGATATTTTATACTTATCCTGACTCATGCTTAATTGCTTGTCTCCTTCTTCTTGAGAATGATTGTGGAACACTTCAATCCCCTTTTGAAGCTCCCTTCAAAAAAGCGGACGTAAATCACTCACCCAGTGCTATCTCCCTTTAGCTGTTTTGGCGGGAAGCTGCGTCACATGACCCCCACATAGTTTCACTCTCTCTGAATTATGTTCCACTATCATTCGCAAGAAGAAGGAGACAAGCAATTAAGCATGAGTCAGGATAAGGAAAAATTCACCTTTTTTATTTTTAGGAAATAAATTCTGCAAAATAGTTTCGAGTTATATTGCAATTCATCGGTCCGTTTTTGAGCCAAATGGTCTGTAGTGGGGTTGGACTCGAAGCACGTCACATGAAACATATTTGTTTTCTGGAACCGGCTTCAGCTGCACACATAGTCAGGGTTGATATCGGCACACATGGATAACAACTCACCATTCTTGGCTACCTCCATCTCCTCCTCCGTCCACCGCGAGGTCTCTACAACTTCTACAACCGAGATATTCACTTTAAGAAGAATAAAAGCTTCATCTTGTTAATCATTACACAGCTGTCACCTGTGACAGATATTTGCTTCTCAAGTTACCAGTCAAAATTATAAATGAAAAGCAAGAACAGTCCTTCTAAATGCTCCTCATAATCTCAGACATCTCGCTTGTTTGTATGTTGTTGAATGCCTCACTCAGCTATGTTCCAGCTATGTAATGGCGGTCTGTAAATAATCAAGTCTGGACCAGACAATCCAGTGATCATCATCATGAGCATCATTCCATCAATCGCAAATGGGATACGTTGACATGTGTCAACCACCCAATCCTGTTATTCACCTCTTACAACAAGCATGAGTTAGAGAGTGAGTGAGTTGGGTTTAACGCTGCTTCTAGCAATATTCCAGCTATATCACGGCGGGGAACACCAGAAATGGGCTTCACACATTGTGCCCATGTGGGGAATCGAACCCTGGTCTTCGGCGTGACGAGCGAACGCTGTAACCACCAGGCTACCCCACCGCCCCATGAGTTACAGAAGACCAAGTCTAACCCGGATCTTGACAGGTTCACAGAAATCATATTAAAATATTATCAGAATTTCAAAAGAACACCAACAGGATAATTTTTACAGTTGATCTACAAGTTGTTTGATATATATTCTAGTGTTATGAACAGCTAAAGCTATCACTGTGGAGTGTTAGTATTCCTCACCGTCCATGTTTTCTGGGACCAGTGCTACTATCGGCTCATTTGTGTGTGGGTTGGTGCCGAGCTTACGCGCTATCCGATTGAAGCAGGCAGAACAGCACTTGCTTATCTCATCTGTCAGTTCTGTAACATATTTCCAGTCAGTCACCCCAAGTAATCTTGTTTCATCCAGACATGTGATTTCTATTTGCCCATGATAAAATCTGAAATCTTTACTTTCCTCAAGCCAGAGAAAGCATTTCCTATTGATTACCCTGCAAAACTAGCTTGTTGGTAGGTACTTTGTAGATTGGAAATAAAGAAAAGTATCACAGTTCAAATAAAAATAAATACAATATAAAAAAATATTTAAAAAAATTGTATTTTCATGCTTCTGTTTTATGCATTGTATATAACTACAGCAATGATGACACAAAAATATCTATATTAGTCTTATTATTATTGCCAACACTTCACACACAATTTGTAATGATGTCCATACACCTAGGACAGTGCATACACACATGCCATCACAAACACGCACACATACCTGTGACAGTAGAAACCCACAACTGTGATAGCACACACACGTACCTGTGATAATACACACCTCCACATCTGTAATAATTCACACACACCCACCTGACAGTACACACATATATCTGTGATAGTACACCCACCAACACCTGTAATAATACACACACCCACATCTGTGACAGTACACACACGTACCTGTAATAGCACACACACATACCTGTGATAATACACACCTCCACACCTGTAATAATTCACACACCCACACCTGACAGTACACACATATACCTGTGATAGTACACCCACCAACACCTGTAATAATACACACACACCACCTGTGATGATAGTACACCCACACCTGTGACAACACCCACATCTGTGATAATACCCACACCCACACCTGTGACAGTACACACATATACCTGTGATAGTACACCCACCCACACCTGTGATAGTACCCACACCTGTGACAACACACACACACCTGTGACAACACACACACACCTGTGACAACACACACACACCTGTGACAACACACACACACCTGTGACAATCTATGCATGTCTAAGACCAGTGGCAACTTACGCATCTCCTTAATGATTGGCTCCTTCACTTCAGCAGTCAGTTCACTCCATTTGGCTGGCAGAGGGCGCAGGCGCTTCACTTTACGCTTGGGCGTCTTACATGTAGGCACCGGACATCTGGAAAAAAAACCCATTCCAAATACAGAGATTCCTTTGTCAATGCCTCGCCAACAAGCCTGGGCCCCCTTTCACAAAGCTCTTATAGTGCTATGACTATCGTAAGTCAATGTTACAGTATAGGAAGTACAAATGCTATGAGAAAAGTTATGAGATCTTAGTCTTACGAGAACTTTGTGAAATGGGGCCCTGGTCTGAGTTTTGAAGCTCAAAATTTCACCATTATGTTTGTTCACATTTACTCAAAGGGTTGAAAATTATATTTTTTTAATTAGTCTCAAAATTGCTCCGCACATCTGCCATTTACATAAAGGAAAAAGCAGGATCAAACCCTGATAATTTAGTCACATTAAGGCATCCAACCAACCCAGGTATTTACACCAGGAGTGGCACCATGGAAGAGCATTATAGAATACGTAGACTCACTGTGTGTATCTGCGGCGGACAGAGCGACACCTGCAGCTGCTGCACACCCGCATCTCGGGCTTCACCTCGCTTTCTAACATCCCATAATTCTCACAGTTGCTGCGGGTGAGAGGTCTGCTCATACCGAAGTGTTCCAGCTGGACCTTGCATACCGCACACTGGTGAACCCCTCCTGGAAACAGTTTACCTATATTAACTACTGAAGATAGAGATTTTGTCTGGGTTACATCTTCTTTTTATTCTTGAGTACAACGTTTCAGGGCTTGTTCTGGCCCCATCATCAAGTAAAACTGAACTGTTCATCAAATAGCATCTTCTAAAATGCCAATCAAGCATCTATATTAACTACTGACTGAGTGAATGGGTTACTTTGGTTACGAACAGCTTTCTACAGTATTATCACAGTATCTCAGCTGGCATGGAGGAAAGCCTGGAATAGTGAAGGTCATTTCTGTTTCAGTTAACCAACAATGGGGACCGTTCATAATTTATGGTGGGGGAAGGGGGTGATGATGAGAGAGGAGGGAAGCAATTCAATTTTGTACATAAGAATATTTAAAATAGTTGCTTAAGAGATACATGAGGGAGTGGGGGTGGGGCGAGGGTCATTGATTTTGTACATGACATGCAGAGGCGTCACTAACTTGGCACATGAATTTTAGGGGGTGGGGGTGGTGTGTTTGTCATTCATATTATACATGCTTCTCAATAAAAAACATCATCACACCACTGACTGAGTGAATGGGTTACTTTGGTTATCGAACAGCTTTATACAGCATTATCCAATCTTGGCAAGGGATGAAAGTCTGGAATGGTGAAGGTCTTTACCACTTTGGTTAAAACATCTATATGGAAGAATATTATAAGTAGTTAAGCACCATTCAATTCGTGCCATGACAAATTAACTACAGAACATGGACGACAAGAGAAGTGTTCATTCATTGTTATAGAATCCTGCATTCTGCAACAGAGGGATGAGAATGAAGTTCTGAGAGGGGTTTAGCATCTATCGGATTTAGACGATTCACAAAATGACCCTTTGCCTTATGAAATTCCCGGAATTCCTCGGAAAATTCTCATCCCTGGCAATACTTGAGCTCCATAACTAGACAATCCACTGATTGATGCTGTGAGAAACAATACCAGCCATCAGAGTACTGACAAAACGCTCTTCACACATTGCAGCATTGTCAGGAATCGAACCTGGGTCTTGGGTGTGAAGATGAACAACGATCTCTGCATTGTTGTTCATGAAGATAAAGTAAAGACAGCTGTCTTAAAACATACCTTCACCCTCTGTGGTTGCCACGGTAACTTCATCTTCAGATGACTCTTCCTCTGCCTCCTTCTCATCTTCCTTCTTGGCACTGTTGGGGAAAACCGAAACAGGGATTCATAAAAAATAACAACTCAATCATGAGTAATGAATTACTCTCCGCAACATTTCTGTGGTGGAGCCCATTAACATCGGGTGCTGACAAAACAAGGATGACAATTTGTGCGAATCAATTAAACCCATAGCATGGTTAGGCATTTCTTTGTTAGTAGTGCCAACCCAAACAAAACCATTCAAACGTTTTGAAACAGTTCCACGTACATGTGAGGTGAGGTGAAATTGGGTTTAACATCATGCTTGAGAATATTTCGCTCATAGGACGACGTGCATGCGTGTGTATGTGTATGTGCGGCTGCTTGTACTAGCCCAGACTTAACCTGGTTTTATAGTGCTAGCCCACTGAGATACCATGCCGCAGTGAAGCAAGAATACCCCACTTAGACACATTATACTGACTCCGAGCCGACAAGTTCTTGTTGTACCCATAATGCCGAGAGCCAGGCAGGGACCAACAAGTACCATATTTTAACGTCTTTTGGTATGACGCGGTCGGGGATCGAACCAGCGACCCTCCGCTCTCCGGGCAGACGCTTTAAAGAACCAATAAACTTTGTTTTTTGTTACTCTTTTAACCATTACATATGAAAGATCTGTGGTTAGTCTTATGCGGAACACCAAATTTATTCTTTAAAAACTTGTGGTTAATTAATACCGAGCGATTAAAAGTGGCCAAAAAGTCGCCTGCTTCCCTCGCCCAGCGAAACCACAGACAGGTTACGTAACTCTGTCGCCAGAGCACTGGAGTGACGTCATATGAGGAACGATTTTCAGTTAGTTGTATAGAAAATGTGTAGCACGCTCATCATTTTGATGATTTCTCGACATCAACGGCGACATGCGGAACGTTGCTTTGTCGTCAATTACTCCTAGGGTCGGGCGATGGTGTCACCATGCACAGATTTCCACAGGACCCCGCAGTTCGTGCTAAATGGGTTATGTTTGTGAGTGCTAAGCTTTAGCGTTGTGGAAGCCTGAAACGATATCTTACTTGTGTTCAGATCGCTTCACGGAAGTTAAAGAATCAAAACTACATACTAGTTGTAGTAAAATATGCATATGATTGATGACCATAAAGATTTTCTATGACACAACTTGTAACATAACGATTTCTTCCTCGAAGTGAGGTTGTGGTCAAGTAACAATAATATTGTAAGTAGTATTATATTGACACCCACCTCGCTGCCAGGAGAGAAATTGTTATGTTATATCGCTGTGTCATGCAAGATCCTATTGGCCATCAATAAAATACATATTTTACTGCCAGTAGAAAGTAGTTTTGATTTTTAACTTTCGGTGAAAACAAACCTAAATACCATTTATCCTGAGACTGGCGGATGTTCCCGACAGGCCGCCATTTTAAAAATAAAAAATCTGTTAGAATTAATGAGATTATAGTTTGTTTTCATCAAGTTAGAAAATCAAGACTACTATCTACTAAGTAGTTAAATATGTATTGGAATCATAACCAACCGGATTTTGCATGACACAACTTATAACATAACGATTTCTTCCACGAGGCGAGGTGGGGGTCAAGTCACAATACTGCGCGATAAATTTCTTGCTACATTCCCATGGTTAATGTTCACTCACCAGTATGTAGATACTAGTCAATGTGCGTCTTTATATTTGGTCTTATAATCCTAATTATTTTATTATCATACTTGTATCCATTTTGAAACTAAATAAAAAGCAGACGATCTGCTGATACTTATAGTGAATTTATAACAGAACTGTAATATCTAGACATTTTATAGTTTGTCAATGTGAATCATAATTCGCACACACACCCTAGTGCATGTTGTCTGTCTCATTACACTTCACGGCGAAAACAATGATTCTGTTGAATGCTACGACAAATGAATAAAAACAAAATGCAAATATTAAAATTAAAACAGATTAAAAGTTATAGGAACAATATCAGGCCATTACCTTGTTCGGGGAATGTATCCATCAATATCCACAAAACTGTTCCAAATGATGTGTCTTTTAACAGTTTAATATACGAAAAAGTGATAAATCTTTTCAGGTATGGGTGTATAGTCTCATTGGTCACCCAAGATAGCACACCTGGCAACTAATTGCATAATATCCGCCTTTCTTTAAAAACAGTAATTTAGTTAGCCAATAATGGGCAATCAATCAATGTATTGCCGGTTAATCCTTTGAAAGAAGGACGTTGTTTTTACGCAGACACCGACACGACAGAGTGTATTCAGTATAGATTAGTAAATCTACATGCATAAACACTACCTTTTGACAATCCGCTGTGTAAGATAAAAGTAATTAATCAATCAGCGTGTTATCGGTTTATCCTTTGATCGATGTTTATAATGTTGAATATTTTCTCCAGACACAAGAAATGCCAAATGGGAACCTTTGTCGGGCAATCTAAGTGTGTTACCACTAATTATACCTGTTATAAATTCATTAACTGACCATCAAGTGAATGATGACAAATAACATGTGTAGGTTTATACCACCTAACACGGGTTACAACAAGGGAGTATTAATTGCTGTATTGTATGTGAAAACTTATGGGCCGACACTGTTTTGAGAATACAAACAGATTTTTTACATAACATGATTAAATATCGAGGTAAAAAAACACAGAAATGGGATCAATTTGGATCAGTCATTATACAAATAGGGCCTAACGACACCAATCGATTTTGACAGAATCGTCTATGAAAACAAGTTGTAACTCGGAAACTTGGCAAAGCAGGAGACAAAATTAAATGCCAGTAGATTGTGAGAACATATAGCTTTCATTTTCCACAACAATTGTCACGATTTCAGGTTTATACAAGCCTGTAAACAAGATAATTTAACCCCTAAAATGTAGATGAATTCTGCATCGGCCCTCAAAGCTATTCCTCATATGACGTCACAGAGGCGCGCCGCTCTGATTGGTTGAAATTTCGTTCGCGGGTGAGAATTGTGCACTGTTGTCAAAAAGGTCGATTTAAGTCAATTAAAGGTCGAAATGAGTAGTTTTAATGACAGGGTTTCATTTATAACAATGCCAGTTAGTGATTTATGTATTTGTACCCCCTAGGGTTTATGTGACCTTTAACCACTACACCACGGAGGCGGTCTCCACGTACATGTGATGAGAAGGGTTAAAGAAACATTTTGTTTATGCAAACCTAAACTTCAAAAATCTTGAGGTAAGAGTGATTAACATCTACAAGCATGGGGTAATAGAGTTAAATTGAATTGTGACTCTAATAACTCCATAAAAAAAAAAAGTGATACTGCAGTATGGCTGTACTGCTGGAGTGTGGCCAGAAACACATCATATCAATACAGAGTTACTTACCCAATAAGTGTGACGTACTTGGTGTTGTCGTCACCGTCGTCATGGCGTTGTTGGGACTCCTCCTTAGGTTGCATGGATGGTTGCTGTAATACAACACAACATTCATGTTATCTGTGACTGTAGAGACTAAAGGTAACTGACTGTCGGTGGCAACAAATGATTGAAGTGACAGTAAAATATCCAGCTGGGTCGGTGAGCAGAATGTGGAGTTACTTCTTACCATGAGTGAGTGAGTTAAGTTTTACACCACTTTTAGCAATATTCAAACACTATCACAGCAGGGGACACCAGAAATGGGCTTCACAAATTGTACCCGTATGGGAAATCAACCCCGGGTTCTTGGCGTGATGAGCGAACGCTTAACCACTAAACTACCCCACTGCCCCTTCTATAGTATGACCAGAAATTATTGAGAATTTTAGGAATATGTTTAATTGGATTTCTTGACCAGCTATCAAGTGCTTGGTTTCATTCAAGAGAGACAACTCCGTTAATCCTTTTTCATTAGTTTGTGAAGAGTTATCCCCCTTTGTTTACTTGATAGCAGATGGCATTTTCAGTGATCCTCAGTATGGATGATTTAGAGAAGAGGAAGTTGATTTTAGAGTATTATAACAAGGACATCAGATCAGCTAAAGTGATTATTCTCGAGGGACATTTACTTCCCTCTGCTCACGTGTTCTATGGAAATTTGTGGATTTTCTAGCAGGACGACGACCCAAAACATCGTTCAAAGCATTCACAGGCCTGGTTTCGGACCCAAAATATGACATTATTAGATTGGCCAAGTTATAGCCCTGACCTAAATCCAATAGAAAATGTTTAGGGACTTATGAAGGAAAGTGTCAATAAGAAAAATCTGACAAATATTGCTGAAATGAAAGAAGAGGTGGTCCGATATTGGGACAGCATGGACCACGACTTTCTAACTTCTTTGATCAGTAGTATGCCCCGCCGCATTGAAGCCTGCATTGCTGCCCATGGTGACTTGACAAAATACTAACTAGTAACCTGTCTTTGAATCTTGAGTTATGTTCTGCTAATATTCACAATTAATACGTGAGTAATGAGTGAGATTTTTTTTTTAAATTACAATCTTTCAATTCTCAATAATTTCTTGCTGGGAAAAACCAATGGTATCTGAAAGCTAATTTTATTCATAAATAAACTGGGTCGGCGCCTGAATTCAAGGGTTGGTCGGGTAAGTGGAATCACAACATTTTTTTTAGGCCTCAGCAACAAGTTCAAGCATTCACTGTTGACAGTTTCAGTCGAAGTAAAAGGGATGTCATCACGGTCAGGGTGTACTGATTGTGAACAGCTGATACCAATACAGCAAGCATTGGTTAATAGGATTTTGTCTGAAATTCAGACAGGTAACATTGTATTGAATTGATAAGAAGACAGAAATAATGGATTCTTTGCTTCCATTAGCACCTACCTGTGACTTCTGTAGCGAACGTTTTCTCTTCATATTCTGTTTCCGTAATAACTGCTTGTAGTTATCACTTTTCTTGGTGAGATAGTAAAAATGAACGCATTCTGCCACAGTCTGAAATGTCATCATCATCATCATCATCATCATCATCATCATCATCAACTTAAAGGTAACAACTGAATTTCATTTGGCAAGGTGGAGGTTATGTTGTTTTCAAGCATATAAAACAGCATATTCAAAATTTGATGCTTTTCGCCAATAAGTCAGAGCACAATATAGTACATGGCAAGAAAATTACGGGGAGTTAAGTCTTACGGTGCTCACCTTCCTTGGAAGATACTGAGCGATAAGGCCAAAGTTCTTTGGATGCTGGAGGTATTTTTCTTTAAAAACTTGTTTCTCATGCTCCGTCCATTTGTTGACGATTTGTTTCTCCTTATAGTCTCCCATGGGGTCCTCGATCAGCCCATTGTTGTTGATGAATCGGAACTTCCGCTGTCGGGCATCTAGCATCATTGGTGGCACGACAGCATAGCTCCTCATCTTTTTATCCTCCTCCTGTAACCATGCACACAAGAGGAATGTAGGTCTGTGAGCATTAGCGACACACACATCTACACCAGTGTCTAGCCATCTACAGAGTTAACGTCCACTACAACCTGTCACAGACACCACAGGGACAAAACACACAACGCTGCAAGCAATCTTTGCTTCCGCCTACACTAAACCTTCTCGTAAAATATAATCAATGAACAAGTCATACTACTGAACTTGTACATGTGCTACCTTACCTCTAATAGGCATATCACAGCTATTCCATGACACTTACATAAACTAATTACTTACATGATAATAATAATAATTAAAACATATAAAAATGATATATATCTACTAATAAGGATGTCATAATTATTCTGTTATACTTCAAACTAATTATTTAAGACCAGACCAATTTTAATTAATTTTCCCAGTTCAAAAAATAAAATCCTAATGTTTTTATTGGCCCAAAATGTAAACTTACAAAAATATTGCCAAAAGTAAAATACTTTTAGTATTTAAAAGGAATACTACTTTGACTTGTGATTTTTCTTTTTTCTTTCTGCCTTTAGGTTTTCTGAGGACAAAAATCTGTAAAACAAGAAATAAAATTGGTCTGGCCTAATGATAACAAATACACATAATGATTATAATCAGCATACGTATATTGAAAATAGGCTTAACAGAAACAAAGTTGAATGTATGTAAAATGTGTCCCTATCAAACTTGAGAAAAGTTTAACAAATGCATTTTTTCCATGATAATCTGAAATAACAAAAAAACACACAGAAAAGCATTGCATGACTGATATGACACAAGAACATGCAACTGACATCCTAGGTAGTTGACACGGACAAACAGCTCACGGTTATCACTGCCTCAGGGCCTTCCCATCATGCAACAGGAACGCTAGCTACACAACAAACCTCCTGTTCATGTAATCCGTCCATGATCTGTTCGAGCTCGGCCTCGCTCCGCGCATATGCGATACTGCTTCGGGCACCCACCCTACTGAGGAAGCAAAGTGAAACAATAAATGTTGCAAGTTGGCTGGCAGCAACCTGAGCAATGGATAAAACTCATGGTTAGAAGCCAGGATGGACAAGCGGTGAGTGAGTGAGTGAATGAGCAGGGGAGAAACGCCTGTTTCCACCTGTATTTCAGCGTTATCACAGCGCATCAGCTTTGTGTCGGGGTCAGCTGAAGCAATGAAGGGAGACGAGCAGGGGGCATGGTGCTGACAGACCAGGTATCCTTGTTGAGTGAATCTGGGATTCATTTCAACAAGAATGGATGTAAGCACAGCTGAGATATGCAATGAACTCCATTGTCTCTCACAACTGGGCCTTTTGAGAAGCAGCAAATGATATTGGATGCAATCAATGAATGAACACGTGATAGAGAAACATGACCTAAGTGCAGTGTGCAAAATGAGCATCTACCCAAATACCTGTCAGTGTGTATACTCTACTTCTTCTCTGGCAAGTGAAAATATAATAAGGCAGTCTAACTTCTTTTCAACAATTTTGGCTAACTTGATTTTCAAGTGATTTAAGATATACTCATGGAACCGAATAAGGGAACACATGAAAGTACAAGTGTTCCTTTATTTATTTCCAGAATTTCACACACAGCGCAATACATACCTTGTGAAGAAACCTGGAAAAGAATAAAGGAACACTTGTACTTTCATGTGTTCCCTTATTCATTTCTATGAGTATATTTCATTCATATTTCATGATTCAGCTGACAATTATCAATGCTGAAAACGTGAACATCTGATAGATCAGAAGCTAACTTTTAAATGTGTAATTGGACTGGACAGAAACGCTAGCCATGTTAACTTCTTTGAGAGGCACTAGCCATGTTGTTGATCTCTTACCACTAGTTCTGCAACCTGTTGCATACTGACTCTGGTTCTTTAAATCTAAGATTTGCTAGTAGATAATTACTAAATTAGCTAGTATATGTAACTATACATCTAGCCCCCTCGACGTATATTGTCCAAAAGTTATTTCACACTCTGGGTCAGTGGAGACCAGTTTCGGCACCTGTTCTTGGTCTGAGATGTTTTATGAAACTGCTGATAGTTGACATGATATGAGATGATGGAGGGGAAATGGTTTGCAGGCTTTACAACTAAGTGCGGAAAAAGAACCAGTGAATTGTTTCCCTTTACTTAAACCATGTGTCAGTAGCTGATGTGGTCAACTTTCAGCACTACTGCCCAGGGGATACGATATGTACCCTGATGCTATGGGAGTGAAACCATTTGTATTATGATACAGTGCTCTTATTTCAGGTCATTTATTCACATTATCTAACTTTTTGCAGGTGAGTTGTAACCCTTGATCGTTTGTCTTCCAGTTTCAGATAGCAAAGATGAGATACTTAGAAAAGAAAAATATTAGCTTGGGGGCACTGTGCAGATTCGCTATTTAAAACAAACCAGGAAATACTAGGAATCTGCATAAACTGGTTCTTGAAAGCATGTCCAGGGTATTATAGATATAGAATGGAGATATAATACACTGGGTATCTTAGGATGCTTTGAATCTAATAAGGCCAAGAATGTCACTCAATGATTAGCTTATCACAGAGTCCCTGTGAACGACAAGAATTTGTTAGTTCGTTCCTACACTCAGCAATATTCTAGGTAAAATGGCAAGCTGTAAATAAATGAGATGTATTCCAGAGATTGATATTATGAGGACAATCCATGCAGGTGGGGTAGGATGACATGCCTTGAACAAAGTCACTGAGCGTGACCATCCAATCCACTTCGTCGACTCTTACGACCAGCAACTGTTGCAGAGTAACCCTTTCTAACTGAGGCCTACTACAGTGCAAATGTCAACAAATGAAGTCAGTAACTGACCATAAAGATCACTTATCACCTGCAGAGGCAGACTTATTACCTGGCAAACCTCTCTTTGTCCTCTCGAGACTTCTTTATTTCTGGGAATATCTTCTCATAAAATTCTCTCATTTTGGCATCTTTGGCTCTGAAAGAAACGTGCATGTCTATTTTAACAAAAGAGGAAATTCCACTGTCAGCTACATGTAGAGACGCTGGTTGCTACAAGATCCCAAGATTAGAAGCAAATAATAACAAATAACTCCATCAGTAGAATGAAAATCGTTTTGCTGTAAATATTATTTTGACAAATTCTATGTGTATCATCTTGTATTTATTTGTCAAACACTGATAAGAAGTTCAGAAATTTTGATGAAATCCAAAAGATCGAACATGGATTTATCCAGGATTTCAACCAAAGTGCCCAACAAACAATCAATACCTTGGTCTAACTGATGGGCGAAATACAATCACATCTACAAAGCCATAACGTTAGTTATTATCCCCCGCCATGAAGTGGGTTGGTCGAAGTTAACGCTCATCACGTACCGCACATGCATTTGTTTCACTGTTGCAACTACTGAGCTTATCCCCTTGTAATACAAACCAATAATAGCGACTTGAATCTATGATCATTTGTTAAACAACTTTTATCCTAAGATAAATAAAATTCTGAGATTCAAATGTTCCATTGGCAAGGTAAAATCATGAGGATTCGCAGTCTTATTTTCACTTTATTTGATTTACTTGTTTGTTCAAAATGAAATTCATCGGTATGTTTTAACTGCAAACAGACTATAAGTAGGTCTACATTTATCCCTGCAGTCATGCAAAACAGTGTTACAGAAGAGAAAAAAAAACCTTGTACCTATTTCTCAAAGTAAGTGGTTGTGCTCCATGTGATTTAATACTGCTTTATAGGTTTAGTATTATCATACATGGACTTAGTTCAATTCATTTGAAGGTATGTTGAACTGAACTCTGTCTAATGTTTTTAAGCTGTGTCCAGTTGTTGAACAATGAAGAATATGGAAAAGAAAACAGCCTCAATATCTATGAGAATGATACACATATCTAAGAAACTTCAACCCTGGAATGATCTTGCAACTAACTGGATTACTAGCATGGCTAAACTACAGGAGATTCAAGTCAACTATTACATAGTTTTCCAGGGATTTCAACCTCAGAACATTGGGTTCTGAAAGGTTACCCAGAGTAGCCTCCCTTGGAGGTGTTCTTACTTTCTCTTGGCATTATTCTCCAGTCTCTCCATCTTCTTCAGCCATCTCTGCATCAGCTGGTCATATCTCTCCGTTAGGTATCGCTCCTAGACACATAAACAGCAGGTGAGGTGAGGTGAAATTGGGCTTTACGTTGTGCTTGAGAATATTTCGGTCATATGACGACGCATGCATGCGTGTGTATGTGTATGTGCGGCTGCTTGTACTAGCCCAGACTTAAGCTGGTTTTATAGTGCTAGCCCACTGAGATACCATGCCGCAGTGAAGCATGAATACCCCACTTAGACACATTATACTGACTCCGAGCCGACCAGTCCTTGTTGTACCCATTAATGCCGAGCGCCAGGCAGGGACCAACAAGTGCCATATTTTAACGTCTTTTGGTATGACGCGGTCTGGGATCGAACCCGCGACCTTCCGCTCTCCGGGCGGACGCTCTAACCACTACACCAGGGAGGCGGTCACAAACAGCAGGGTTCAAACAGGGTATCTCAGGGTTATAGCAAGTTTGCTTGATTTGTGTGTTTGTTGCACTCAGCAATATTCAAGCTAGATGACAGCAGTTGGGGCTCCTTTTAAATTTATATGGATTTATTTGTTATTTCTGTCTCTCAAAAGTACACATTTTCAGAGACTAAGCGTTAGTCTACCACATCAGCTGCAGTGGTCTTCCCACAGACAGACCAAAGGAAATGGAGCGTATATCTGGTATAATTCCCAGGAGTGCCATCTTACCCGTATCTTCCTGGCCTGGTTCCTCTTCTTCAGGTGAAGAATCAGTCCGCTTCTTGAACACCTGGAACCTGGAACAGAAGGAAAACAATTATTACTGCTTTAACCACCATCTCACATCAGTACAGTCGTAACAGTGTCTGTTGTGTGAAGTGACAGGATTCCAGGATTAGTCCAGCTTGATGACTAAAGATTTTCAGTAATCAGGTCTGGACCATACAATCCAGTGACTGTTATTGTGTGCAATCTTCAACTCTGTTAGGTTACATGAACATGCTATAAACCAATCAATTGTGTCACCTAATATGACCAGCACTGGCTGTTTGGACATTGCTTCTGTGGGAGTCATTTAGAAGTTGGAGTACTGAGGAAGGATATCAAGATACGGATGAACAGCTTCCCTATTACAATAGGAGTAACGTTTTGGTATAGGTTCTGACACCTGCTTAATAATGGTGTTAGAACCTACAACAAGAAGGATATCAAGATACGGATGAACAGCTTCCCTATTACAATAGGAGTAACGTTTTGGTATAGGTTCTGACACCTGCTTAATAATGGTGTTAGAACCTACAACAAGAAGGATATCAAGATACGGATGAACAGCTTCCCTATTACAATAGGAGTAACGTTTTGGTATAGGTTCTGACACCTGCTTAATAACGGTGTTAGAACCTACAACAAGAAGGATATCAAGATACGGATGAACAGCTTCCTATTACAATAGGAGTAACGTTTTGGTATAGGTTCTGACACCTGCTTAATAACGGTGTTAGAACCTACAACAAGAAGGACATCAAGATATGGATGAACAGCTTCCTATTACAATAGGAGTAGCGTTTTGGTATAGGTTCTGACACCTGCTTAATAACGGTGTTAGAACCTACAACAAGAAGGATATCAAGATACGGATGAACAGCTTCCTTATTACAATAGGAGTAACGTTTTGGTATAGGTTCTGACACCTGCTTAATAATGGTGTTAGAACCTACAACAAGAAGGACATCAAGATATGGATGAACAGCTTCCTTTATTACAATAGGAGTAACGTTTTGGTATAGGTTCTGACACCTGCTTAATAACGGTGTTAGAACCTACAACAAGAAGGATATCAAGATGGATGAACAGCTTCCTTATTACAATAGGAGTAACGTTTTGGTATAGGTTCTGACACCTGCTTAATAATGGTGTTAGAACCTACAACAAGAAGGATATCAAGATACGGATGAACAGCTTCCTTATTACAATAGGAGTAACGTTTTGGTATAGGTTCTGACACCTGCTTAATAATGGTGTTAGAACCTACAACAAGAAGGATATCAAGATACGGATGAACAGCTTCCCTATTACAATAGGAGTAACGTTTTGGTATAGGTTCTGACACCTGCTTAATAACAGTGTTAGAACCTACAACAAGAAGGATATCAAGATACGGATGAACAGCTTCCCTATTACAATAGGAGTAACATTTTGGTATAGGTTCTGACACCTGCTTAATAACGGTGTTAGAACCTACAACAAGAAGGATATCAAGATACGGATGAACAGCTTCCTTATTACAATAGGTGTGATGTTTTGGTGTAGGTTCTGTCACCTGTTTGATGATGGTGTTATCTAGAACGTACAATGAAACATGGAAACATCATCTATATCTTGTGATCTTTCCTTCATGCTGGGTCATTATTCTAACCTGAAATCCCCACTGAGCACAACAAGCAGCTGATTCAAGATCCACAAACCTACATAGTCAAACTGGCTAGAATAAATATGATTTTATACAAAATACAACAAAGAAATCTATCACTTTGTAAAAATAAAAGTCTAAGTGTGACTTAATCATGGCCACTCACAAGTACCTGGTATATATGCCACTTCTATATCAAAAAAAACACTATTAACAATCAAAATGGAAAGCCTAGAAATAATTTGGTCCTTGTTTCCTGGATAATTTTTTATAGTTGCTAATATGCTTACATAAAAAACACAACACAAAAATTTAAACCAGTCTCGCCAACCAATGTCTGCTCCATTCATGTAACACTACTGTAATGCTTCTTGACCTTCTGACTAAGGTTGTATGAGAGTAATGATGTGAAGGTAGATTAAGATCACGATGATACCAGGTACAGAAGGTGCATGTCTTAACAAAGCAATTTCCTTGATGTAGCTAATTGGGCAGGGAATTAATTACGTGTGATGGTATGATGAGATAGACTGATGGCCTAATGCTGTGTTTCCTGATAACTGCAGGGACTTACAGCATGTTTCCCGGGACTTACAGCGTGTTTTCCTTGCAGACTTTCACGAGTGACTGACATGATTAAATCTTCCCTCGTAATTCTGTCAAGTTATTACAGTGATGAGAAAGATACACATTTTAAGCATGTTGCGGTCTATAACAGGAACAGTAAGTCTGCCATAATTCATTCCAATCATCACTTTTTTCCCCCTTAAATTGATGTGAATTAGTTAATAAGAAGAAATGGGGCATTGAATATGGGTAATTCTGCATACAGCTCTGATCTTGATGTTAGAATTAATCCCATTGAATGCAATTTTAACGGATACCCCAAAGTAAGCCTCACTGTTGTGAATGGTAGGAGTCAGTGAGTAAGAGTGAGTGATGCATAATGCTGTTGTCAGTAATATTTCAGCTATATCAGAGCTATGTGAGTGAGCAAGTGAATGTTACATAATCACGGATTTACAGGACGCACATTCCTAAGTCCTATACGGATAAAAATTGACAACGGACACAACAAAATTGATTAGCGCGTCCAGGAGGACGCAGAAAAAGTCCAAATACTTTTTTTAAAAAATGTCGATCAAATAACAATAAGTTAGTTATCACCGAGTCTGCTACTAGCCTGGCTATGATATCATTTGCAATGTAACAATATGATGATCATGATACACGATACAATAACAGTAACTGAATTACAACAATATTATAACATAGTATTAATAATAATATTTAAGTGTCTGGGGCCCCCATTTTGTAGTCCAGGACCCCTGAAATTTAAGAGTATGAGTCCCAGGGACCCTCAAATACAGGACTCAAGGTAAATCCCTGCATAATGCTGTAAAACACATGCGAAGCTCATTGTAATACGTTTACTTTAACACAGACTTATGACAATCTTAGCACTAAGATCACTCCATGGAATGGGTCCCACTTGAACAAAGCTAAACCTGCATTAAGATTATCATAATTCTCATGAGGTAAAAAACACTCATGCAAATCATACTTTATGGAATAGGGCTGGGGCCCTCTCGTACAAACCAACATAAGCACTAAGATCATCGTAACGCTTCACTTAAACACAGACTAAAAGCCTGGCTATGGTCTGCCTGGACTTACTTTTTCTTGTTCTCATGGTAGATGGCTGTATCCGAGGGCTGGTGGTACAGAGGCTGTGGAACACAAGACAGGCATGTCAGGAAATATTATGATGGGAACTGTGCATGCCGGTGCTCTATAACCGTGCTAGCACTATACTGAAGGGTTAACATCTATAACAAACACTTAAATTGAGCTGATGGTCCTGGACACTTGCAATCAAGTTTAGTAAAGTTGTGTAAAACATACTACATTTATAATCATCTAATATTAGTGGTCCTTTTGAGGTGAGGTGAAATTGGGTTTTATGTCGTGCTTGAGAATATTTCGCTCATATGACAACGCGCATGCGTGTGTATGTGTATGTGCGGCTGCTTGTACTAGCCCAGACTTAAGCTGGTTTTATAGTGCTAGCCCACTGAGATACCAGACCGCAGTGAAGCATGAATACCCAACTCAGACACATTATACTGACTCCCAGCCAACCAGTCCTTCTTGTACCCATTAATGCCGAGCGCCAGGCAGGGACCAACAAGTACCATATTTTAACGTCTTTTGGTATGACGTGGTCGGGGATCGAACCCGCGACCTTCTGCTCTCCAGGCGGACGCTCTAACCACTACACCACGGAGGCAGTCGGTCCTATTGAAGTAGTTATAACCTTAGTTTACTGCATAAGAAACAATTGGTTATGTCTCTGCTCTGGTTATTTCTCTGACTTACCAGCTCAACTTTGGGCCCTAGTTTATCTAACGTCTTGTGCGCCTCCTCGGCCTTTTTCTGAAAGAAATCACAACATTGTAACAGCCAGCCTGGGATTAATGTAGACTTGCTGACAGTCTGCAGCAAATGCAAATCATGTTCATACTGGAACATAGGTCTAAACAATTAGGTTTAAATCCATGTTATTTCAGTCACAACCATGCAGATATACTTCTTTGATGGGCATTTTAGAAGTTGAGTTGTTGAAGAATGGTGACAATTTTTATGGATATACAACTTCTTTTGTTCTGTGAAGGGCGACATTTCGACACAGATTCTAATGCCATTGACAAGCAAGTGAAGTTGAATATTCATGCAGATATATTCAGCAAATACAACTTAGGCCATATGTTGTAGTTACCCTGTTTTCGGCATAAAAGATTCACGCTATATGACCTGTTTCTGTTTTCAGCATATATGACTTGACCTACATAACGTAGTTACCCTGTTTCCAGCACATAAGACTTGTGCTGTATGACCTAATTTCTGTTTTCAGCAGATATGACCTAAGCAATACGACACCGTTACCTTGTCTCCAGCAGATATGACTTGTGCTATATGACCTACATATATTTTCATCATATATGACATGAGACATACAGAAAATATTACACGAGCAAGTGTGTCATACGACTTATACAAAACGAGTGTGAAATTTTGTATTTGTGCAATACACAATTTTGCATGAGCTTCGTATAAGTTGAGTGGCACACTTGCGAGTGTAATAATTTCCTTATTATCCATTTTATTCATGTACATTTGTGCAGTAAAACATGGGAAGCAAGTTTGACTGCCATGTTCATTGACGTCACGTACAATTGTTTAATGACATCACAGACAATGAAATACAGAAACAATGGTTGCTAGGCAAAAGTGATACGTGCACATGTGCACATATGATATGTATGACATTGGTTTTGTTTCACCATATGGATATTAAAGGAGGTATCTTACCCTGTTTTCAGCATAGATGATTTGTGCTATACTCTGGTGTTTTGTTTCTGGCATGGCCAACTCAGGGGTGACAGGCTTTTCCTTCTTGGGCTTCGACGTTTCTTCCTCCAGGGCTTGCTGTGTGGGGAAAGAGGGTGATCAGCACGATGTAGGAAGACAAGAGTGTTTAGTTGGTTGGTCTTTGTTATACATTATTAAGAACTGAACAGTAAAAGTTTGTCTGGGAGATAGTGGGTGATATGAGCAGTTATACCCTTTGGTTGTTGAGATGTGAGTGAGTGAGTGAGTTTAGTTTTACGCCGCTTTTAGCAATATTCCAGCAATATCAAGGCGGGGGACACCACAAATGGGCTTCACACATTGTACCCATGTGGGGAATCGAACCAGGCTCTTCAGCGTGACGAGCGAACACTTTAACCATTAGGCTACCCCACTGCCCTGTTGAGATGTGACACATAGTATCAGATGAGAGAGTTAAGAATATTAAGTTGCTGGTAGATAAGGGCAACTGTCGCTGCTCCCACTATCTGTGAGAGGGTGTTCAAGATTACGGCACTTATTTAACACTATGGTCACTTTAACACTGCAGTCACTTTACATGACAACTACCACTGTGTCTGCTTCTGATGGCCATGCTACTGCTGCTTCTCAGTGGTATGCTGCTGTTTTCAGAGGTGAGGTGAGGTGAGGTGAGGTGAGGTGAGGTGAGGTGAGGTGAGGTGAGGTGAAATTGGGTTTAACGTCGTGCTTGAGAATATTTCGCTCATATGACAACGTGCATGCATGTGTATGTGCGGCTGCTTGTACTAGCCCAGACTTAAGCTGGTTTTATAGTACTAGCTCACTGAGATACCATGCTGCAGTGAAGCATGAATACCCCACTCAGACACATTATACTGACTCCGAGTCGACCAGTCCTTGTTGTACCCATTAATGCCAAGCACCAGGCAGGGACTAACAAGTGCCATATTTTAACATCTTTTGGTATGACACGGTCGGTGATCGAACCCGCGACCTTCCGCTCTCTGGGTAGACGCTCTAACCACTACACCACGGAGGCGGTCCCTGTTTTCAGAGACATAGTGTCAGTCTACAATTTCATTGACCACAGAGACCAATGAAATTGTGATGACAAAATTTGAAAATTACTTCCTGAATGTTAAACAGAACCAAAGTTACCTTTTTCTTCTTGAGTTTCATGATATTCTGCTCCACCTTAGTGATCTCCCTGTCCACCCTGGATATGCCTTGCAGGAGTTCTTCCTTGAAGGTCTTGCTGGCCGAATCTTCGGGAGGAAGTGTTGGCGAGATGGCCTCCACCTGAGGGTTGTATGTCGGCTCCTGCGGAGTAACAATAACGACCAGTCTCACCTGGGGTTGACATGACAAGACATCACTATGGTATATCACAAATATACATAAAGCATTGATTAGAAATTCAGTGATTGTGACAGTGAGAGTTGTGCTTCAGTTGGTTGGTGTTTAACGCCACACTCTGCAATATTCCAGCTGTATGGCGGCGGTCTGTAAATATTCGAGTCTGGACCAGACAATCCAGTGATCAACAGAATGAGCATCAATCTACAAAATTGGGATGCAGTGACGTGTCAACCAAGTCATTATTTCAGCAACACAACTGACCAGCTTCAAAGAGGTGAGGTTAAATTGGGTTTTATGTCGTGCTTGAGAATATTTCGCTCATATGACGACTTACTTGCATGCATGTGTATGTGTATGTGTGGCTGCTTGCACTAGCCCAGACTTAAGCTGGTTTTATAGTGCTAGCCCACAGAGATACCATGCCACAATGAAGCATGAATATCCCACTCAGACACATTATACTGACTCCGAGCCGACCAGTCCTTGTTGTACCCATTAATGCCGAGCGCCGGGCAGGGACCAACAAGTACCATATTTTAACGTCTTTTGGTATGACGCGGTCGGGGATCCAGCTTCAAAGATGGGAATGAAGACAGAGAAGATCGGAAACTGAAGGGGAGGAATATATACCGGTAATTGGGGACACTGTGAAGATTCTGCTCTTTATACCCCACCAGGAAATACTAGAGAACCTGCATGAGCTGTTTCTTGAACAGTTTCAGTAATTATTCACATGTTTTAACATCAATATATTTTGTAATATGATGTTCCATATGTATTGTGATACAGGAGTTGTAAATTGATGGATTGTATAGTGAGCTTCATATATCATACTGTGTGGCTGTATCATTACACCACTAAAAACAACAGAGTGACTACCTACCCTCTTGACTTCTGTCTCACCCCGGATGTCGATGTGCAGCGGGTGTGTGAGATCATGGCGGTCGGTCAGTCGGGGGCCCTTAGGACCTGGTGGTGTGTTGACATCAACGGCCTGGTGGCCACTGAGAGCTGCCGCGGCAGCTGCAGCCGATGGAATCACGGTCACACCTTCCTGGTTGTAGTGAGAGTAGTGGTCCGAGCCCCTGTAATAAAACATTGGGCATGAACAAGCTGTTACAGCAAGAATACACATTCATATTGAGACTAATGTAACATAGGTTATACTTGGGATTACATATTCTAGGACTTTTGTTAGGTTGGGTCCCATTCAAGATACGAACCCTCTTTCTCAAGAGTCAGGCACCTAATCACCAGCACACAAAGTCAGCCGTCTAACCCACTCAGCCACAATAGCTTCCACAAAAATGGAAGTCGGACAACTGGTAGTCAAGATCACGACTCTGTGTACCCCTCTGACAAATGTAAACTCAACCAGGCACGGCTTCCACAGCCAAAAGCGACTAATACATAATGCCATTTAGAAAGTGGTCAAATGTGCTTTACTGACTGACTGACCGAGTTTGGTTTTACGCCGCTTTTAGCAACATTCCAGCAACATCACGGGGGGGGGACACCAGGAATGGGCTTCACACATTGTACCCATGTGGGGATTCGAACCCGGGTCTTCGGCGTGACGAGACAACGCTTTAACCATTAGGCTACCCCACCGCCCCTGTGCTTTACTGAGAAAGTGTAATCCAAACAAAAACATATTTTACCTGTGATCACTTTCTACATGGCATTGTGTATTCACATTCAGTCATTTAGCCAAACACTCAATACAGAGTGAGTGAGTGAGTGAGTGAGTGAGTGAGCGGATCTTGGTGGATGAGTGAGGAAAGTAGTGGTCCAGCCACTGTCTACCAATGTGACATTCGAGATACAACTGTCACCAGTAATGATGTAACGATATACAAAATGCTTAAGCTTTATGTTGACGTCTGCAACATTTTTCTAACAAGTCTATTCTTTCCTTTCAAGAACACACACGAACATATATTTCATAAAAATCCGCAGAATGGGTTTTACATATTATTCCCATGTGGGAAACTGACCCAGGTTTGAAAAGGAAAGTCAAATTCAAAGTCTCTCTTTTTTCTACCATTAAGTCATCTGAGGATCCAAACTATTTTTATCATAAGGCATGTCAGGAAATAGTGGTTCGAATTCCAAATATGCCTGGATTTTGTTTATAGGTTTTCCACAGCCATATTCAAGGATTTCACCAAAATGATGAACATCTAAAACCTGTAACACTTCGTGCTCTCCGCTAACATCACTTGGATACACAGCATCATAACTGAAAGCGCCTAGTTACACTTATCTGGCATGGCTGACGTGTCAACACCCGAGAGGTGAAACCTACCAGAAGGGTCTGAGGAAGCCCGCAATCATGTTTCTAAACTCACTGATCTGAAATGTCTTTAATGTGAACATTATGAAGAAAGGCTTTCACAGACATTTTCCCTGCTGAAAGTAGGGCTCTCAATTTTGTCCTTAAGATTTATCAATTACATGAAATGATAATTCTTTACAGGAACCCTCATTTAAAACAAATAAGACCAGACAGAAATAAGATCCATAAATAAATGAACTCTGTGATGGAAAAACTGAATGAGAAATATTACTTAATTAAGAAAATGAGGTACATGCATTTAAAAAACTGTTGAAACTAAACAAACTGTCAAGAACTTAATAGGCATTAGCTTAGATTATGGCAAGTGATCTGTCCTGTGTAACATTGCTTGACTTAGTGCAGTACTCCTGAATGAGTTTTGAAGTGCAGGTTTTGTGATCTGATTTGTGGGTAGCAATTACTATGACGAGTTCATTATGAAAGCTCCTGAAGTCTTCAAATCATCTTCATTCCTTCTTTCACGGCCAGCAACTGAATCTTCATCAGCTTAATTGTACGTTCCAGTGCTCGCCTCTAATCAACCAGGCTTCCCTTCAGAATATTTCCTGTACCTTATCAAAGAAAGGCTCATTTCTGGATCTTGCTTGCATGAATCCATCAAAGCTAACAGCACTCTAACTTTATCAGAAACAATCCCTGTAATCCCCAAATAGATTTGTCATTTTTCAGTTCATCCAATTATAGCTCAGTTTCAGCTGCCCTGTCTCCATATTGGACTCCCTGCCTGAGAAAGCGTTGAGGTCAGAGAGTGTATGAAGTGATTTACAGGTCTGAAAAGTGCGGTTTTGCACCCTGCCTACCTGAATTCCCTAATCATCCCGGAATATGCCTGCTGTGGGACATAATGTCTACACCTACCTCCCATCCAGAAGTGCAAAGGAACTCAATTTTAAAGCAGTATTTTAGAAGCTGTGGTAACAATGAAGACAAATTTGACTTGATTTCCTTATTATTTTTAAAAGCGATGATTTGATACACATGCTAATGATTTTAACAAGGAAGTGATAAGTGACTTACCCTGTCATGCAATGATGCTGCATCTGTTATCGCATGAGGCTATGGCTAGGGCCTTACATTTTGTTTGCATGGTTTATGGATTCGCCAAGCTTATAATACAAATTCAAAGGGAAAAATAAAATCAGAATGACATTGTATTTTTCAAACCATGGATGGTAAAGACCACTTTCACTATGTAAACAACAATGAAATACCAGGGTTATATAGTCCAATTTTAACACCTGTGATGACCAAAACAAAGCTAATTATTTGTAAACGTTTTGGCAGCAACAAATCAAAATACTCTAAATATTATTGAAAGTCCATTTCAATGCATTAAACTTTTTTTAACCTCTAGACCAAATCAGCTCTCACATCAGCAGTGACAAAGAAAATGAGTAGTTTAAGTGTAGTCTTATTCCCTGGAACCGCCTTACAGTCACAAAGCATACCTCATACAAGTACTATATCTTGCCAGATGTACTGAATAATTGGCTGGTGGCTCCTAAACGGAACGAACTCGTCTCCCTCTCATAACAAAACCCAGAAGTGTACAACATACACTTAACAACTTAGAGTACATCTTCCCTGCTGATCAGCTGATGGGTTAAACAACACATCCCCTGTGCTAGCACATGCACGTGAAGACACCGGTGTCTCAGCAAGTGGCTGGGTCAGGCAGCGCAGCACTGATTGTTATCCTTGATGGAGCCCCCATGTACAGGCTCGTGCAGGCTGGCACAGTATCTCTTGCCTGGCTCCGCACTCGCATGACATCCTTGTCGTGAACCGAGGAAACATACTTCCCCTTCTCTTAAGTCAGCTGAAGTTGATCATTTGTCAAGTAAATCATAGAAAGGGTGACAAGTAAATCCAAAAAAATAACATGGGAATTATTGAAAGAAACAGATAATGAACTGGATATGTACATTTGTTCCACATGGAGTGTACAAGCAGCAAGGGATGTCATCATTGACAGAAGACTGAAACACAAAGGAGGTGGAGTTGGGCCATGGGTCTGACATTCATCAGGTGGAGAGGGTATTGAGTATACATTCAGCAGGTAGAGTTAACGTGGGATAGACATTCAACAGCTGGAGTTCGGTCATGGGTAGACATTCAACAGCTGGAGTTCGGTCATGGGTAGACATTCAACAGCTGGAGTTCGGTCATGGGTAGACATTCAACAGCTGGAGTTCGGTCATGGGTAGACATTCAACAGCTGGAGTTTGGTCATGGGTAGACATTCAACAGCTGGAGTTCATGGGGTAAACATGGAGTTCGGTCATGATAAACATTCAACAGCTGGAGTTCGGTCATGGGTAGACATTCAACAGCTGGAGTTCGGTCATGGGTAGACATTCAACAGCTGGAGTTCGGTCATGGGTAGACATTCAACAGCTGGAGTTTGGTCATGGGTAAACATTCAACAGCTGGAGTTCGGTCATGGGTAGACATTCAACAGCTGGAGTTCGGTCATGGGTAGACATTCAACAGCTGGAGTTTGGTCATGGGTAGACATTCAACAGCTGGAGTTCAGTCATGGGTAGACATTCAACAGCTGGAGTTTGGTCATGGGTAGACATTCAACAGCTGGAGTTTGGTCATGGGTAGACATTCAACAGCTGGAGTTCAGTCATGGGTAGACATTCAACAGCTGGAGTTCGGTCATGGGTAGACATTCAACAGCTGGAGTTCAGTCATGGGTAGACATTCAACAGCTGGAGTTCGGGTCATGGGTAAACATTCAACAGCTGGAGTTCGGTCATGGGTAGACATTCAACAGCTGGAGTTTGGTCATGGGTAGACATTCAACAGCTGGAGTTTGGTCATGGGTAGACATTCAACAGCTGGAGTTCGGTCATGGGTAGATATTTAACATGTTGAGTCAGTCTTGAGGGAGAAATTCAACATAACTGGTTGGTGAGGTGAAATTGGGTTTAACGTCGTGCTTGAGAATATTTCGCTCATATGACGATGTGTGTATGTGTATATGCGGCTGCTTGTACTTGCCCAGACTTAAGCTGGTTTTATAGTACTAGCCCACTGAGATACCATGCCAAAGTGAAGCATGAATACCCAACTCAGACACATTCTACTGACTCCGAGCCGACCAGTCCTTGTTGTACCCATTAATGGCGAGCGCCAGGCAGGGACCAACAAGTACTACATTTTAACGTCTTTTGGTATGGCGATGTCGGGGATCGAACCCTGGCGCGACTCAGGACCCGGAGGCCGTCCTGGAGTCTATGGGAGGTTGAGAGAGAGAGAGAGAGAGAGAGCAGTCCTGAGTGAGTGAGAGAGAGAGAGTGAGAGAGAGTGAGTGAGTGAGTGAGAGAGAGAGTGAGTGAGTGAGTGAGTGAGAGAGAGAGAGTGAGAGAGAGAAAGAGAAAGAGCACTGCAAATTTGAACAGTACTCTAGTGAAACCCACAAGCCCAATTATGCTGTTGACAAACCACAATTTGGCCAAAACTATATTTCGAACCAAAGGGAAGCAACTCTTCACATGAAATTGACGTAGACAATTCCAACAGGAAGTCTACTTGGCACAATATCAAAGACAATGTCTCTCATTCCAAATCAATAAACATCTGTCCAAAATGAACTTTGTATGTACAGATATCAAAAGTTTTTCTCTGTCCACACAAGAACGTCCATGCATCTGGCCAATGCAATTTAAAACATATTGAGTGAAACAACAAAGAGGCCTAAATAGCCAAAATCTAAGC